CAAAGAGGAAGTTTACCTAATCCTAAATATCACACCAAGCACCATAAGCAATGAGGTAACACAGGGGACTTCTTTATTCCCCCTTTGCTGTTCCAACACCTTGACAGCATCTCTTCAGCTGCACACATCCCTTCTTCCCACCAGACTCATCTAAACCTCCTGGGCCACAGATGATGCAGGAGGAGAAAAGGCAGCCCAAAATCTCACCTGCAAGGTGGGAGCTGGAGCCTCGGCTGGTGTCTCCCTCCATAAATCCTTCCTGGGGCACTGGAGTGCAGCAAGGAACATGATCCCCAAGACCAGGAGCTGTGGGCAGGGCCCTGGGGGAGCCTCAGCGGGCAGGATGCATCACCCTGTGCTCACCCAACCTCAGCAGCGCCCACCACCCCGACCTGCCCCAGTCACCCGGAGGCAGGAGCAGCCTCAGGAATCTGTCTGGACCAGCTAAATGGGATCAAAATGTGGAGTGCTGTGGGTCCCATGAGCTGTGAGCAATTACTGTTTACAGTGGCAAGACCAGAGGCACGACAGAGTCACATCAGAGAGGAGATAGAAACCCAGACAGCACCACTGGTGTGAGCAGAACCTCATCCCAGCAAGGCTGGGCTTGCTCAAGAGGTCATTATCTTAAGTATTATCTTAAGCAAATGAGGAGCAGGGATGTTACAGCTGAAGTCTGCTCTACAAACGAGCAAGAGAAATGTTGAGTGTTTAACCAACTTCCTCCTTAAGGAAATAGCTCCTGATTCAGCGCAGCGCTTGAGCGTGGAATTAACTGCTCTAAGAGATAAGGGTGCCTTCAGACCAGCGTAAGCCCAGATAGATGCTGAAGCTCTTCACTGAACCATGGCCATGTCACAACATCTACAGACCAAAATCTGACATCAGGTACAACTGCATCTGCCACCGAGACCATCGAGGCGGTGCTTCACAACCAGCCTTCCCAGCAGGGAAGCACAGAGCTGCAGTGATTTCCTTGGGAAGAAGCCCCAGCTTCCTCAAGGCCAGGCTGGACTTGGAGCAAGCTGCTCTATGGAAGGGGTCCCTGCCCGTGGAGCTGGAGGAGCTTTAAGGTCCCTTCAACCCACTGTGTGAAGCTGCAGCTCCTCTGCTGTCCCCGCTGCTCCAAAGTGAAACAAACCCCGCTGAAGGCTTTGAAGCTGCTTCAGTCACCACCGCATCCAGCTCCTGCGCCCTGCCCACCAGAACAAACACTAAGGCAGCGCAGCAGGGATGTGCCACCCCAGCCTGCCCGCCCGGCCCCTTCCCAGCCTCTTGCATCGGGAACGGCTGCCGGCAGCAGGACACGTTCCACTCCTCCATGAGATCACTCCTTCAGCGTTCGCTCAGGCCTTGGAAGGTGCCAGCAGCACAAAGCACGTGCATCAGCTAGGAGGTGTTCAAGGCAGCTATAATGGCACAGTGACTCCTCAAGCCCAATTACATTCACGTTGGGACTGAGAACAAGTGGCTTTAACCAATGCCAGCAGCACGGCCAACTTCTGCATCAGCCTCCAATGCCATCGTACACAGGACACCGCACCCACGGCACGGGCAGGAAGGGACACAGACCAGCTTGGGAGGGAGGAGGGATAAATCCCACCTTCCCATGCCACTGAGGATGACCAGATCCGATGTCAATGGAAACAGGCCAGAAGTGCACAACCCAAAACTTGAGGCTGCGAGTCAACAGCAAACAAGTGGTAGCTTCACCAAGGGAGGATCACAACCCCCATCTGCAGCTTTCAGGCAGTTTTAAAGGGATGCACTGTTGGGATCACAGGGAATGCAGAGGATGCTAACAGCAGCTCCACTGAAGTTCCCCCCCCCACGCTTCCCACTGCCTGGTTGTCTGGGGAGTTTTAGGGACGGAACTACTCCCACACTCTGAACTATTCTCCTCTAAAGCGAAAAGGGAAATAGAGTTATTTCAGATTTGTTTCAATATAACCATGGAAAAAATCCAGAGGAGAAGTCCCTCAAAACAACTATTTATAGTACCTGCAACACCACAGAACTCTGCGAGTTATTACCTCAGACCCAGTAGCTCAAACTGCACACGAGCCCTGTGACCACCCTGAAGGATGGCTGGAGAAAGTCTCTTTTGCTTCACATAAACCCAGGCTGTGTCTTTCAGCACATTGATCCATGCATTGCTCCAGTGAATACACTGACTCTTACCAGGTTTTGAGGGAGTTCATAAGGAAAAAGGGAGAAAGAGCAGTTTGACACCAGCATTTACATCACCTTCTTTGGTTGGAGAAGAGAAGGCTCTGGGAAGACCTTGTAACAGTCTTCCATTACCTAAAGGGGAACGAGAAGAAACCTGGAGAGGGGCTTTGGACAAGGGCCTGTGCAGACAGGCCAAGGGGAATGGCTTTAACCTGCCAGAGGGGAGACTGAGATGAGCTCTTAGGCAGAAGCTCTTCCCTGTGAGGGTGCTGAGGCGCTGGCACAGGGTGCCCAGAGAAGCTGTGGCTGCCCCATCCCTGGCAGTGCTCAAGGCCAGGTTGGACACAGGGGCTTGGAGCAAGCTGCTCCAGTGGAAGGGGTCCCTGCCCGTGGCAGGGGTTGGAGCTGGAGGAGCTTTAAGGTCCCATCAACCCAAACCAGTGTGATTCTAATAACACCACATGGATAAACCTGCCAGCCCCGGTGTGTCCCCATGCCACGTTGTGCTGGCTGCATGGTGATGCTGGGGCCACATTTAATTAACAACAATCAGTGCTGAAACCTTAATGCGAGGCAGCAGGGCCATATGGTGCTCCTGCCTCTCCCAATTGCCCTTCATTTCCAAACGGCACCAGGAGGCACATGGAGGAGCCCTGCTCACACCACGCTGTGCAAACCACCACTAGAAACACTGAATTGATTCATGAGCTAAGGAAAGCCAAGCGTAAGAACCACAAGGGGCTGGGCAAGGCACTGATTGCCCTGGTGAGGCTGGTGTTACAGCACACGGCATCATCCCCCGAGCAAACCTGCAACTGAGCAATGAAGCCTCCTCTGGAGCTGCTGGCCGGGCAGACAACCCAAAACCCCGGGGCAGGACGCGGCTCACTCCTTGCCCCAAATAACCACGAGCACCCAGCGCCAGCACTGTCAGCAGCGAGCACACGCTACCAGGTTCTCTGTGACACAGGTCCTGCCCCAGCACACCACGGCCTCCTCGCTTCACCACCAATGACTGATGCAGGTCACACCTTGCCAAGGGCCCTGCAGAGACCCACGGCCCCAGAGCATGAGCACAGGACCCCGTTCAGCCCCTCCGTGTCCTCTCCCACGCGATGGAAGGATTAATCTCTCTTGCAGAACACAAGCATGTGGCCAATGTGAGCGCATGCATCTTGGTGAATCCCACCGGCGTGAGTACTCTTACCCCATGGTTTGGGCAAGGCAAGGCGTGTAACAAATTTCCTGCTTCTACAGGAATTTACACCTCACCGTACAGCTTCGCAAACGCAAATTCCTCCTGCTCACCGAGACCTGCTGCTGCCAGCCTCGCCTTGGACGTGATACTCTCCCATTTCCTGCCAAAACTTCATTTCCCGAGCCCACCCCGCATCAATTCACCTCGGCCGGGGTCCGTGGTCCCTTTGCGGGAGGCTCCGGGCAGATCCCTTCATCCAGGGGGACGGGGATCCCCCCCCAGGATCCCGGTGCGGGGGAGCCCTTCCCTGCAGGTCCCTGCAGCGGGGCTTTGGGGACCCGGGGCAAAGCGGGGCGGGGGGAAAGAGCGGGTCCAGCGCTGCCGCTGCGGGAGGAAGAGCCCGGGCAGGGTGCGGGTAGGGGCTGCAGTGCGGGGGGAAGCGGGGAGGGCAGGGGTGCAGGCAGGGTGCGGGCAGGGTGCGGGCAGGGCGCGGGCAGCACTCACATTCGCAGCGCAGGGCTCGCTCCCGCACCGCCTCCCCGCACAGGTCGCACCATCCGCGGCGCGGGGGCCGAGGGGCGAAGCGGTGTCCGCGGCCGCGCTCCGCCGGCTCCCGCGGTGCCGCGAAGATGCTCCGCACGTCGGGGAGCAGCCGCGGGGCTCCGCTGCGCCGCCGCAGCCGCCGCCGAACCGCCCTGGCCCCGCCGGGGCTCCCCGGGGACCGGCCGCCCATCACCGTGCGGGGCCGGGCGGCAGCCGGAGCATGGAAGCGGGCGCGCAGGGAGGGAGGGAGGGAGGGAGGGAGAGCGGGCGGGGGCACGGCCCCGGGACCGGCCACGCCACGGGAACGCAGCGCAGGCGCCTGGGACCGGCCCGGGGGGAGGAGACAAGGCTGGGCACTGGGGACGGGGACCGGGACCGGCCCTGCTGGGGGACCCCGCCAGTGGAGACCCCCTAAAACATGGAGACCCCGCCCCATGGAGCCCATCGCTGCTGCCATCCCCTTCACCCCCATGACACCTTTCCCGTGGCATTCCCCTCCCCGCAATTCCCACCCCCGTGGGAATCCCCGCCCTTCCAGGGACCTCTCCCCACAAGGATCCCCCCTCTCCGTACCCAGGGCAGTGCGCACATCGCCGCCGGGCTCCCTGCAGCGTCGGCTCCATCCCACCCCAGCATCGCTCCCATCCCACCTGGCCAAAGCGCCTTCCTCTGGGGCGATGATGAGGGCGGAGGAGCCGAGGCAATTATCGCTCCCTGATGAGGCTCCTGTGGTTGTGGGAAATGCCAAAGGGAAGATGTGATGGCCACGTTCTGAAGCGGCTCCGAGCAGGCTCCAGCGCTGGTTTGCAAACCTCTCCCCTGGGCAAAGGAGCTTTTGGGGGTGGCTGGACCCGGTGGTCCTCTGCTACCTCGATGCACTGATTATCAAGTGACTCCCTCCCTCCTCCTTTGAACACAAGGGTGTGAGGGTCCCCCGTCATCATTACACCTTCCCCCTGGCTGGGAGAGGCGCAAGCTTCTGCTATGGTCAAACGCACAGCATTGAGTTTGACGAGGTGCATCTTCACGAGGATGCGTCTGATGCTGTTTGAGATGTACATGTGAAAGGAGTGATGTGCAAGCAGACTGAAAAAGATACAGAACAGTGTATTCTGCATGGTGAGGAAATCTGTGCTGTGCTGTGAACCGTAAGAAGAAACTCTTCCTCATGCATTTTCCCTTTTCCCTACATCCAGATGGAGCTGTGTGCACCCCAGCTTCTGGGCTCATGGGAAGCTGAGTTTGATGTCACTCACGGATTCCTGAGGACAGGATAAGCCAAGGATGTCTAAATCCTTTTCAAGGATTCTAATTTGAAGCCTGGATTAAAACACTGGCTCTGAGTTACAAAGGACTAATGCCATAAGCAGCCCCTAATAAAAGCTTCAAACCCAAAGAGGAATAACACAGCTTGGAAATCCTAGTTTTGTTCCATGCTAAGTAGCAAGATTCATTTGGGGAGCGTCTTTTTCTTCCCCATTCAGGACCCTGATTCACTTTCACACATCCTCTGCTCCTGCCTGAGAACAGCAGCAGATTTATTCCCAGGGAAGGGAAACTGTTTCCCCCTGATTGGGATTTAATCCTGTGCTCTCCACAGAGCGTTCATTGTGTAAGAAATCACCTGCAAGAAAGCAAGTGATGTTTCTGAGAGCAAAGATCTACCCGGCGTCTGGCTGGGAACCTGCTAAAGCCATTCTGGACATGTGCTCTTCCAGGGCCATCCCAGCTGTGAAAGCTGCAGACCTTGGCTTCCAGTGCAAATAAATGTAGTACCCTCTGTCCACACCGCATGCTTGGGCTCACACGGGATGGAGATGGGGCAGAGTCGTTATCCTCAGCTGCCTCTGCAGGCATTCAGGGCTGACTCCATTGGAAGCTCTTTTAGGCCAAGGGTTAAAGTAATCTGGGAAAAAATCCCTAATTACCACTGGCAGGAAAGTTCCTGTTTCATTTGGATTCCGGGAGTCCCCTTTGCAGCTGCTGTTACAGCAGTTGAAGCATGACAAGGGCTGTTAGCAAAACCTCTCTTTTCTTTTTGCCAAGAAATAAATCCCTCTTTACCAAAGCCAAACATGTCCCAGGTCCAGCTCTCAGCTGGTATGAATCAGTGCAGCTCCACTGAATCCAAGGAAGTGTGGCAGGACACCCTGCCTGGGCTCCCTGCCCTGTTCCAACAGGGGATGTCAGTGAATTCGAGCTGGATTAAAACTAATGTTCCTTGGAAAACGAGGAGAATCCTAGAAAATAGTATGTGGGAGAAAAGCTTTTAAGGGATGGCTTCGTTCCACCTCTGCTGCTGCAAGCGGCTGGGTTTGACAGCCAGGATGTTGGGTTTTACAGTTAAAATGGATGGGGAAGTTTGGTGCCAAATTCCACTCGGGAAGGTTTCCTGGGCGTGCTTGGCCTGTTCCGACAGGCAGGAAAAGGCAGGCACAGCCCTGGAGCTGCTGCTCCTGCTTCGGTTGCTTCCTTGCTGAACTCAGAGCAAGACGCTCAGCTCCAAGGCTGCACTGCTCTGCCCCAGGGGCCCGCAGGTCTCCCAGCAGAGGCTGGAACCAACTCCTGCCGTCGTGAAGGTGAGGAGCATCCATGGCAGGCACCCCCTTGCCCTGTCCTCTCTCAGGTGGGGTGCTGGCGATGCCTCTGGGCAAGCAGCATGGTGAGGGCAGGCCCAGACTCGGCTGGAGGCTCTTGCTTTACCTGATGTGTGTCACCTCCAGCAAAGAGGCAGGCGAGGGAACGGGAGGAAAGGTGAAGGGCAGAGCCGGGAGCTGTGTTCTCTATGGAGGGGCAGGTCCAGGCAGGCACCCTCAGCATCCCCGCTGCTGTTGAGTCAGACGCATTGGCTTGCCCAGATGACGGCTCAGCCTCTGCTTCCAGATGCACGATCCAGCCCTGGGAGGTGCAGTGAGCCTTGGACTTTGCTGGTGCCCTCGTTTCCTGGTCCCTGCTCCAGCCTCCTCCAAGCCCAGCACCCAGCCACAGCAGGTGACTTCTGCCTAAGAGCTCATCTCAGCCTCCCCTCGGGCAGGTTAAAGCCATTCCCCTTGGCCTGTCCCTGCAGCCCCTTGTGAGATTTGTGTCTTTGCCCTGATGTGTGCCAAGGAGGGGTGGGAAGAGCCCATCCTTCTGCCGGGAGTCCCCAGCGTGTAAATACACCTACGTGAGCCTGGCTGGGAGGGGGTCATCTCCCTGCCTGGCTTTGGCTCCTGCCTGGGAACGCTGCTCCCCTCTGTGGCTCTGCAGGGTGTGGATTGAGGGATTGGGATGACAACCCATCAGTCACGCTGGGGACAGGCAGGAAGAGGTGGATGGAGGGGACGCGTGTCCGACTGCCCACAAAGAGCTCCTCGATACCCTCTGCTGCTCATGCTCCCGCAATCCCGGACTTCCTGTATCACTGCTCCGCATGGTGATGACTCAGTTATGGTTCCTCATGAAACCCAAGGTCAAGAAACAGATAAATCCATCCTTTCACCTTGTGTTAATGGCAGGGGTGGCTGCTTCTCCCCCTTTAACCTGAAGTAAAAAGGAGCATCACTGCCTTCCCTTGCCGTGGAGAGGGGAATGTGGGAGCCCTCTCATCTGGGATTGTGCCTTGGCATTCAGTAGCACCCCCAGGTTCGCTGGCTTGAGCCAGGGTTTCAGTGCAGGGTTGTTTGGAGACAACGTGCATCCACACAGGACTCGGTTACATGGCTAGAAACATACCCAAAACGAGAATCCTCCCTTGGCTTCCTATTCCCAAACCCAAGGGGGAAATGGGAGAAGAGGTGGCAGCATCAGCGGGCTGAGGTCTGCGGCTCCCACCGTCCCAGTGCTGGAGCTGTCCTGGGCTGGATCCAGTCTCAGCATCCCTCATGCCCACTCCAGGGACCAGAAGTATGTTAAAAGTGGGAGTAATCCCATCACAAGAGGGCAAAAGAGAATTTAGCTGTTTAGCCTCTTCCTCTTCACCACCAGGCACGGTGATACAGAGAAGCTGGAAAAACATGAAGTCCTTCGAGCACTTTTTAAAAGGAAAGAAAAACCCAAACCCTCTCATTTTCTGGTCAAACTTTCAAAGGTTCAGGGTGTTCAAGCCACTCAAAGCTGGCACTGGTGAACGGTGCAAAAGTGCTGGAGGGGAGAGGTAGGAGACAGGGAGCTCCTCCAACATGAACATCAGACGTCTCCATCGCCCTGGACCCAAAGTGCTGCGAGTGTTCGCCGCTGTTGGCTTCAGCAGCCACAAGCTCACCACGTCTCAAACACCAGGGGCTGGGGCAGCCCCACGTAACCTGCAGGAACAGAACCTGTGCTTGCGCTCCCCATGCTGGAACCCTTCATGGATACCCATGGAGCCCACCCGGTCCCACCACCCCATCCTGGGGTTAGGGGCAGGAGCAGCGTCCCTGCACGCTCTTACTCACCGCTCGATGATGCTGTTGTTGAGCTGGAGATCACAAGTTACTGACCTCATCTGCTCCAGGAGCTCCTGCATCCTGCCAGGGACACAGCCACCCCTTACCGGTGCTGCTCAGCCTCCCATTCCCTATGGGAGCAGCTCCGGCAGCTGGAGCGCCCCATGGATCGCACACGGCAGGACCTCAGCTCACCGGAAAGCCATGTCCTGGTGTGCCTGGCTCCCAGGGACAGGGGAAGGAGCAGGAGGAACCGGTGCCAAGCTCTGCCTCTCAGGCTGGAGAAGCCTGTCCAGAGCCTGCGGGAAGGGAGAGGCTCAGCAGCCCCCCAGGCAGGGGGTCTGACCCAGGGCTGCAGGGCTGGACCCCGGTCAGGCAGTGCTCAGGACCAGTGGTGCCGCTGCCAAAGCTCTTCCCCATTCCTTGCTCAAATAGGGAAGATCTTCAGTGTGGATCCCCCCCAGAGCACTGCAGCAAGGTGTTCAGAAGCACCCTGGTGGTCTCTGCTTAACACACGTGCTCAGGCACAGGGTGGGCAGGGTGTGAAGGGGGGGTCTGTGCAGCAGCACCCCTGGGTGGGACCCCCCATGGGCACCTACGCTCTGCAGGCAGTCCTGGCACTGCATCATCTCCACGCTGCAGGCGCTGATGCGGTTGCTGAGCCTCTTCAGATGTTTCTTTATCTCACAGACTTTCCTAGAAACAACAACAGAATTCCCAGTTGACGTTCATCGGCAGTGTGGATCCTTATCCTGGAATGGTTTGTTTTGGAAGGGGCCTCAAAGCTCCTCCAGCTCCAACCCCTGCCACGGGCAGGGACCCCTTCCACTAGAGCAGCTTGCTCCAAGCCCCTGTGTCCAACGTGGCCTTGAGCACTGCCAGGGATGGGGCAGCCACAGCTTCTCTGGGCACCCTGTGCCAGCGCCTCAGCACCCTCACACTAAATGGTTCTATTTCTTTAATAGAGTGTATTTCTGTTCTAGTTCTGTGTGGTTTAATCCAATTTACTGCTTTCTGCAAACCTTCCTGGATCGAAGTTAAAGCCCCAAAGGAAAGCAAATGAGTCACAACAGGGCTGCAAGCGCGGCTGCAGCTCTGCTCATAGCCACCATAGGCCAGGTTATCCAGACACCACCAGCAGCAAAGTCCTGAGGGAGAGTGGGAAAGGGAGCTGCTCCTGCCGGCCACGCAGCAGGAGGGGCCTCAGCTGGCTCAGAATAGGTTCGGTTTGGGGTAATAAAGGAAAGGCTATTTCAGGTGCACGGTCCCACCTCCAGCCCCCAGCAAACCACCTCCAGAGCTCAGCGCTGGTGCCAGCCCAGCGCAGGACAGCTCAGGCTGGAGGCAGAGTCAATTATAGCCGGGCAGGGGTGACGCACGGTGCCCCTTCTGCAAGGGCAGGAAACCAGGCACAAAACCACTCCGGCAAAACACAAGGGACACAGGGACGGGGCAGGGCTGGGCAGACGCTGCCCTCTCCTCCTGCCAGGGCATTCCCGAGCACCCGAGGCAAATCCCACCCTCAATTCCCCCCCAGGCAATTCCTGGCTGCTCCGTGGCAGAGACAGGGACACAACCTGGGGTCGGTTCTAAAGCACTGCGGAAAATCCTCCTCCGTACACGCACACCGGCAGCCCAGGGGAATGGATGCTGCTCTAAGAGCAACCTGGCAATAGAAATCCAGTGTCTGGAACATGCCCTTCCCCTGCCTGCCTCCCCTCACTCTGCTCATGGCTGCAATAGGCAGAGGACTGCGCTCAATCACTGCGAGGCACTTTGCTCCCTGCACTATTCCCCAAGCACCCTTTAACAGGAGATCATTCCTCCTAAGCAGATCTCTGTCTCGATGGCAATTTTGACCTGATAAAATAACCTCTCCCCATCAGAGAGTGAAGAACCCAGAGGCTTAAACTCCAGCTGCAAGTTTAGGGAGCTTTTAAAATCAATCCACTAAAACAACAGGGCAGGAATACATGGCATGGGATAAGAACCAGGGTCTTATTACCCACTGAGGAGTCCTTCCGCAGCAGTTACCGACATCATCCTCTCCATCTGCATCTCAGTGCTCAATTGATAAGAGCGCTCTGGAAGCCCCGGGATTTGTGGGCAATACTTAATGCAATATCCCTGCTCCCATCCCAACCATGTCCAGAAAACAGAGCCCTAAAACCTCAGGAGAAGGCTGGGGCTTGTACCTCATGCTGCTGCCATGGAGGGCCAGGGCCTCCTTGTACCGTTCCACACAATCATCCTGGAAAATCAAGAGCACCTTCCTGGCCAAATGGCCTAAATTCACCCTAAAAGCAGAAAAAAGAGCAGGAGAACACTGGTATTGCCTTAAATGTATGCAAATGAACATCACAGTTCACATGGCAGGAGACCTAAAGCTGGCTCCTGAATGGAGAAAGAGGGGCTGGATGCTCAGTAACGGATTTTGATGTGGGTCTGCATCTATATAGAATCATAGAATGGTTTGGGTTGGAAAAGACCAGTTTCCAACACCCCTACCATCTACCTCTAATCTAATCTGATCTAATCTATATCTACATCTCATCCCCATCCCAAGGGCACTCCTGAGAAATCTTTGCCTTGGACTTTAAGGCAAATGCCCAAGTGGAGATTGAAGCTTTAATTAAGCTCAAGGAGCTGCCTCTTCAGTTTCAGCAGCCCTGGTACGTACTGGAGCGTGCATTTGATTTCCTGGTTGTGCTAAATTCCCCTGATTTCAAATGGAAGCTAAACGGAGGATTTTTAAAGGTACAAAAGCCATCAGACGCTTGACTTCCAGTGGAAGGTGAGTGGATGTGAAGGCAGGGACACTTCCCAAACCAGCATCTCAGCAAATACACGGCCACGAGCTAAGCACTGTGCAGGCAATAGCCTGAAATGCGCTTATCCCCACATCCCAATGCAGGGAGTTGGCCCAACACCACTACCCTGACCCCAGGTCAGGGGTTTTCTCACCTCTTCATCAGAAATAGCTTTTAGCTTAAAGCCTTTGCTGTGAAAGGTCCTGCATGGATGAACCACCACCAAACCCAGTCCCTCTCCCAGTGTTAGCGACCCAGGAACATTTTACATCCCACTGGGATTCAAGCAGACACCCCCCCCACATCTGCCTAGCCACAGTATGGGGCAGGTCCTAGAAAGGGGAGAGGGCTGGGACTTACTTATCCAGCTTGTGTATTTGCTCCTCATTGTAGCTCAGCCCTGGGGAGGGAAGGCAGCACCAGTCAGCACAGGCTCTCCTGTTCACCACCCAGGGAACGGGAATGGGCATCTTCACACCACAGAGCTCACCCCAAGGCTCTGCAGGGCAGCAGCCCCTGGGACCACGGCCACAGAGAGCTGCAGGGCCCCAGTTCCCCACCGGCTCAGCGCAGGGATGTTCCTGCCATCCCAGGGACTTACGCAGACTGGTCCTGGCCTTCCTGAACTGCGTGTAGATGAGCTGCATCTCCTCCAGGCAGCACTGGATCCGCTGGATGCTGGAAGAGGGACGGGGAAGGGGGAATGAGGCCCCTGGAGAGGGGTGAAAATAGCACTGGGGGGAGCCAGCCCGGCCCTCAGCCTGGCTCCAGGTATTACACGTGCGTGCACAGGGCTCTTAGGAGCTGTTTGCAATGGGGGCTGTGCATGGAGCGGTGTCTTCTCCATCCAGCAAAGCTTTGGCAGGGATTTCGGGAATGCTGGTGCCACAAACCTCTTGTCTTCATGCACTTCCTGCCCCTGCTTCACCAGCTCAGCCAAAACCCCATCGAGAGCCCCTTGGAAGACAAAGATGCTGTGAGAGCACTGGGAGAGCTCCTCGTCAACCTGTGGAGGAGATGGAGAGGTTGGGGCTGGCTCTGGATGCTCCCCAGCCCCACACGGAGCTCACCCCCTGCACAGAGCTCACCCTCTGCAGCCTTGTCTTCACCATGGCCACGTCCTTCAGAGCCAGCACCCCGCTGCCTGCAGGAGCGGCCTCGTACCTGGAGACAAGGAAGGATGTTAGGCAGGGTGTGAGGCAGAGGCACAGTCCTGTGGTGGAGGCAGCATCCGAGTCCCTGGGGTGGTTTGTGTGGGCAAATAACTGCGCCCAGGGCAGCGGATCCGAGCCACAACAGAAGCGTGGATCCGGTGCAAACTCACCCGATTTGTTCCCAAATTGTTCACTTCATCCCCGCTGGCTTTGCACCAGCTCAGATGTTGTGCGTTTTCTGCCTCCCTGCAGCTGGCATGAGAGCAGAGCACTGAGCAGTGCTGGCTAAGCAGAAATAGGCTGCTCCAGCCCGTGTTGGGAGGGATGGATAAGCAGCAGCATCCAGCTGCAGCATCAGTGCTCTTGGCACTCCAGCCCTGCGTTATCCGGCTGAAGTCAATGGGAACCATGTGTCCCTATCTTTGTAGATGAGATGGAAATTAAGAGGCTTGCTAAATGGAAAGGAATAAAAGATCAGCAACCCAGCAGCAAAGAACGCTCTGCTGCAACAGGACTGGAATGCAAACCAACCATGGTTAGCTTAGAGAAAACAGGGTCAGCTTTTCCTGGGGCAGCACGGCTGGGAATGGGTGCCCAGGACAGCCAGGGCTTTCCTTGTCATTCAGCCCCATTGAATGTCATTCAGCCTCTTGAATGGCATCTTTGAGAGCCCCATAACTCATCTGCAGCAGCCGCAGCCCGGCGCCTGCATCCCTGCGGCTGCAAAGCCACACTTACAGCACGGGGGTCTTCACCTCAGGGAGCTGCAGGCAGGAGAGCACCGAGAGAGCCCCTGTCTTCTGCTCCAGCACCCTCACGCACTCCGTTTTCAGGTTCCCACTGCCAAGAGAGGAAACAGCCCATCCAGCACTTCCCAAGAGAGGAAACAGCCCATCCAGCACTTCCCAAGAGAGGAAACAGCCCATCCAGCACTTCCCAAGAGAGGAAACAGCCCATCCAGTGCTCCCCAGCAGCCCGACCTCCATCCCGGGGCCAGGCGCACAGGGTTAGGATGGAGCTGATGCCTCCTCGTGTGCACATGGGATGCTGGATGCATGCAGAGCTGGGTGCAGCTCCTGGGCAGGGGGTCTCACCCACTGGGCACTGTCCTGCCTTGTACAGGAAGGGAACGGGCAGGACAGTGAGAATGCCCACAGAACCATGGCACGGGTTGGGGTGGGAGGGGCTCCTCCAGTTCCAACCCCTGCGCTGTTGGGAATAGGCTGGAAAACCGGGAGTGGTTTCAACCCATCAATGACCTGGGAGGGGCCGGGTCCCCCCCTCCGCACCCGCACCCACGCCGGCCCCAGCACTCACATCACCCAGTGCAGGCCCCTCGCCAGCAGCTCCCGGCAGCGCCGCAGGGCGCGGGCGATGCGCAGGGTCTGGTGCACGGCACCCACCGCGCTCTGCAAAGCAACGGGCACTGCCTCCATCCGCACCCCTGCGGCCGGGGCTCCCCGGGGCCGCAGGGACCCCCCGCCTACCTTGGCTGCTCTGCAGTCGGCCACCACGTCCACCCTGGGCACCAGCTTTGGGAACTCGAGCGCCGCTGGGGAGATGCGGTCAAGGGGCTTTGCGGATGGAGCCCGGAGCCCCGGGGACACCTCACACCCCTAAAGAAACCCTGCAGCCCCGCGGGGTTTCAGGCATGGGAGCAGCTGCGATGCTGCTTAGCACGGGTCTCAGGGGTGGTTTAGACCATGGGCGCACGCAGGAATCGCCTGCAAAGCCCGGTGTGATGGGTGGCCACGGAGCAACAGCCCATGGCAGGGGAAAACTGACCCTGAAACCCCCTAATCCTGCATCCCTCATCCGGCATCAAACCCCTCTACCTCCTGCTGTGCGTTGGAGCCCTTATTGTATACACATACATATATAAAATACATATACCCTTAGTGGACACAGAGATAATAACTTCAGCAAATCTCTCTTACACACCCACCCTGCGTGCCCTGCTCCGCCTCCAAGCCACCGGTACTCACGGTCTCTGTATGTGACTCCTACCACGTCTTCCGGCTGCTCGGCGATGCTCAGCAAGGTCAGAGGGCTGTGCTCCGTGGTCCTGCAGAAGTTCTGAGCCTGCAGATTCGGATCCAGCTCGTAGGGATGCCCTTCGAAAAAGTACTCTTGGTGGTGAGGGGCTACGTTCGTTTGTTTGAAGACAGCATCCAAGAACTTGGTGGTACTGAAATGAAGGAGAAACGAAAGGACGGGGAATAAGCAATGAGGGGAGCGCTCAGATTTCCATCACTTCCACAGCCTGCTGCCCTCTTCTTGTAGCAAAATAGCCCACAAGGGCAGCGGAGCCCCTTGGGCAACTTCCCTGGGGCTCTCTGTGTGCCAGGGGCAACAGCTCCCGTTAGTGTCTGAGCCTGGCTTGGTTTAGGCTGGCTTAACTGCTGGCATTCCCCCAGGTTCACCCACAAAGACGGGGCTGAGGCTCCTGAGCTCAACTTCTAACCCAGCCTTGGCATCCTTACGTGTTGTAGGAGTGGATGTAGATGCGGTGGGAGGAAGCCTGTGGCAGGCAGAAGACGTCCACCACGATCCTGGTCAAGATGTCATTGGTCTCTGCAAAAAACTGGTTGAACCCCCAGCATTTCCTCTGATCCACCTCCAAGATGTTGGCCAGGATGGGAACCAGCTGCTCCTTCAGCCCCCTGCGGCAGCAGAAGAGACGTCTGCACATAACCCTGAGCCACAAACGTGCTGAGCACGGGGCTGGGGAGGGATGCTGAGCTCTGACAGAGCTGCTCCCCTGCCCTGCATCCCTTTTCCCTGCCTGTAAAGCAAAGGCCTGGTCTGAGAGCTCCGACATCCGCAGGTGAGAAGCTCGTTCCTGGTTAACCCCCCCTGTGCTCTGCGAGCACCCCCAGCCACGGCACCAGGACGTGGGCCCCGAGCCCGGGCACTCACGTGGAGAGGCGGCAGGTGAGGGGCAGCTCGTAGCTCCACGCGATGCTCCCGTTCTCCTGCTCCTGGACCCCTGCAATGGCTCCAGGAGGCTTCTCAGAGGTGATTTTGTACCTGTTGAAGGGAATTGCCTGCAGCTGAAGCGAGCCAAGTGGTGCCTGTTTGGGCACTGAGTCCCTTGGGCTCAGCAGAGAGGGAAAGGGCAGAGATGGATGGGCTGGGAAAGAACAACATCCACAGAGGTAACAGCTGGACTTGAGGATCTTAAAGGTCTTTTCCAGCCTGGTTACTTCTATGAACCTGCTCTAGTGGAAGGTGTCCCTGCCCGTGGCAGGGGGTTGGAACTGGATGAGCTTTAAGGTCTTTTCCAACCCCAAACCAGTCTGGGATTCTGTGATTCTCTTCCAGCTCCAAAGTCGGGAGAATGCATTTTGAGGGTAAATGTGATAAATGGGGCACGGGTCCTTTACATGCTCACTCTCCACGGGCTACACATCAGGTTCTATGGGATTAAATGAGTTGTAAACTGCAGCCCATGGACCTGCAGTGCTGCTGGCGTGCACCGAGCCACAGCCACATCACCCTGCAGCCCGCAGGGTCACCTCCCGCAGCGCAGCCCCTGGTGCCCCGGGCTGGATGCGGTCCCTACATGGCCTCCTTGTTCCAGCGCGAGCCCCCGAAGGGGACGAAGGGGAGGCTGCCGGTGGCAGCGTGGTAGAAGGTGACGCCGATGCTCCAGAGGTCGACGGTGACGCCGTAAACCTTCTGCTGCGGCTTGCGCAGCACCGCGCGCTCGTACATGTCCGGGTGCTGCAGGGGAGACCGAGATGAGCTCTGAGGCAGAAGCTCTTCCCTGTGAGGGTGCTGAGGCGCTGGCACAGGGTGCCCAGAGGAGCCGTGGCTGCCCCATCCCTGTGCTCACCAGGTACTCCTCTGTCCCATAGACAGACACAAACTTCTCATCATCGCCCAGCTCCCGCGCGGCCCCAAAGTCGGTCAGTTTATAGATGCTCTGCCCATCTTCCCCCAGCAGCCGCATGATGTTGCCTGGTTTGATGTCTCTGTGCACCACGCTGTTCTCACGGAGGTGGTTCATCCCTGCCACTGGGCACACGGGAGGGGAGGGCTTTGTTCAGAGGTAGGAATGCGGGAAGAGATGGAGCTGGTGCTCAGCCCGTCCATCGCCAGCACCCCGAGGTCCCCACTCTGCAGCCTCCCAGCTCCAGGCTGCGCTCACGGTGATGGGACGACCCTCACTCACCCACGCACTGCAGCACGATGAGGAACTCGGACTCAGCCAGGCCGAAGGTGTTCTCCGGGTCCTCCAGCACGCTCAGCAAGCTGCCCCCCGAGCAGTATTCCATCACCAGCACCTTCTGTTTGCTGCTGCCCTGCACGGGGAGCAGCCCTGAGGTCCCCCCACTGTCCCCCACTGAGCTCCACCCCTCCCTTGGCTGGTGGGTCCCTGCTTGGACAAAGCAGGGCTGGAGGGTGACAGGGGACAACAGAGGCACACAGAGTGCTCCAGTGCCACCAGTGCTGAAGGGCTGAGGCTTGGTGTGGAGGTAGAGGGAGGAGGAGGCAGCCCAGGGGCAGGGTTTCGGGGCTGGGACCCCACTTACCGTCTCCTCTACAGCAAAGAACTTGACGATGTTTTTATGGTTCAGCCTCCTCAGCATCTCAAACTCCCTCATCTGGACCTCCGGGGGCCGCCGGTAGCTGACGCTGTTAAAGACCTTCACAGCGACCAGCTCCCCCGATTTCTGGGAGAAGAGGGATCAGAGAAGGAGGGAGCAGGAGGTGGCACCATCCATGTCCTGAGCAGCTCCATCAGCTCCCTCCCTGCTCCCGCACCCGCTGGCGATGCAAACTCCACTGACACTGCAAGGCGCGGGCATCTCGCAGCCCTCATCTCTGCTGTAAGAGCCACCCCGCTGCTCCTCACCACCCTCTGCTTCCTGTCCCTGCTCATTCAGCTCCAGATCAGGTTTACAGCAGGGGCTGAGGCCGGGAGCGCGCAGTGGGACGGGGCTGGGTTCAAACCCTCCTCAACGCTGCCTCTGCCGCCCCGCCGAGCAGGAACTTGCTCAGTGAACACCAAAGCCCGGGGGTGCAGCCCTGGCGAGTGCTTGCACGAAACATGCAAATGGGCAAGGACGGGGCCTTCGGAACCTCTGGGCATTCCCCCAGAACAGCTTCTTCCTCCTGCGATGCCCGGGAATGCCGGGAGGGGACCTGCCCCAGAGCACCCCAAAGCTGCTCCGCACCCACTGACCCGAGCTGGAGCCCCAGGGAGGGAAGGAGCCAACCGAGAAGCGAAGTTAAAGCCCAAAGCAGCCCCTGGAGCTCCCGGGGGACAGCAGAGGGGGCAGGGGCACCCCCACCACGGGGCAGGAGGGGTGGGGGCTCGGGGCGCTGCGGGTCCGGGTTCTCCCCCTCCTTCCATCCGTACCCACCTTGTTGCGGGCTCTGTAGACGGAGGCTGTGGCGCCCTGGCCCAGGCAGTCCTCGGTGCTCCAGAGGTAGCTCGGGGTGCTCTGCATCTCCAGCAGCGCTGCCGCAGGGGGGAAGCACAGGGGTCACCCCTCCGGCGCCCGCCCCGCCACGAACCCCTCCTCGCACGGCCGCGGGCAGCTCCCCCCGCGGGCTCCCGGCAGGGCCGCGCATGGACGGGGCCGTGAGCGCAGCCCCAGCCCTGCCCTGGCGCCGGGAGTCGGGCGCAAAGAGCAGAGCGAGAGGAGCCGCGATGGGGAGGAACCTCCCCGCCCCGGGAGCACAGCCCGGGGGAGGCCGAGCCCGCCCGGCAGCATCCGCGGGAGGAGGAACCGCCGCTGCTTCCTGCTCCGGAGGAAGCCGCTCCCGGTGCCGCGGGGCGGCAGAGGGAGCTGAGACGGGGCTGGAGCAGGGTCTGCACCTTGGGCACCCAAACGGGGCTCCCCCAGCGCTGGGCTCAGCGCTCAGCCCCGGCACAGAGACCGCATCGCACCCGGCTCTGCTCCTGCTGAGCCGGGCCCTGGGGTTCAGTTCCAGCCCTCCCCAAGAGCCGCTGCTGCAGTTACCGGTCCAGAGGCTTCTGCATCCGGCCCCGGGGCAGCCCCGGAGGCGGTGAAACGGCTCCGGGCACAGGGCAGGAACGGAGGGAGGAAGCGGGAGCAAACGGAGCCAACGGCCCTGCCCCAGCCGCAAACACCCCCAGGCGCTAGAACAAGGATGAGGTCCGGCCCTGGCGCCTGCAAACGCTTCCCGAGGGTCCAGAGACGAGCAAAGGTGGATCTGGGACATTCCCGAGCCACGGCGCCAGCACCGCTCTCACCGGGAGCTCCGCGGCAGCAGGATGCGGGATGTAGAGCGGGATGCGAGATGTAGAGCGGGATGTGGGATGCAGAGCGGGATGCGGGATGCAGAGCGGGATGCGGGATGCAGAGCGGGATGCGGGATGTAGAGCGGGATGCGGGATGTAGAGCGGGATGGAGGATGTAGAGCGGGATGCGGGATGTAGAGCGGGATGTAGAGCGGGATGCAGGATGTAGAGCAGGATGCAGGATGTAGAGCAGGATGCAGGATGTAGAGCGGGATGCAGAGCGGGATGCAGGGTGCTCGGAGGGGCCCACCCCTGCCGTGCCCAGCCTCAGGACCTGCAGCTGGGGGTTGTGTCGGGCTGGGGTCGATGTGAGTCTGGAGGCCCCGTCCTCACAAGATGAAGCCTGCAAAGGTCCAGCGAAACATCACTTTGATTGAAGCCATCCTGCTGCAGCTCCGCTGACAGGAAGAGGAAGGGACAGGGTGACTTCCTCAAGTCATTTCCAGCCCTGTTTGCTGCTCCTGTGTCCTAGCACAGGAGCACTGATCTCCCGACACCAGTGCAGTGTGGGTGCAGGCTGGGGATGGGCTGCCCGGGCTGCTGCACCACATCCCTCACTCACCATCGATTTGAGATGCTGAAGAGCTCGTTTCACCCCTCAGGCACCACGGACACTGCAGACAGGAGCAGTTAACACAAGGAAAGGGGAAAGTGAAACCTGTGGGGTGGAAATTCCAGCTGCCAACTCAGCTCTACAGTGAAAGGAAACCAAAACCAAGGGGGTTTTAAAGGCAGAAATCCCAGATTTGGGTGTTTCCTGAGACTTCTGACCTGCTTCAGCTCGGGACAGGGTTGGGGCTGGTGAGGGGGAAAGGCAGGGGGGAAGGAAATGATTAAAATAGTGGATAACACCCCAAAAAGGTTCTCAGGCTGTGAATCTTTCACACAGCTCCTGAAAGGGAAGGCAGCGTGCATTGACACTGGGAGCCCTCGGACATCCCAGTCCGTCCCAGCACTCCCAATGGGTGCGGAGTCCCGCACCTTAGCACCGGGCCGTGCCCATGGGGGATGAACCCCACTGCGGATGCGAATGCCCGGGGGGCAAAACGACGGCCCCGGCCCCAAGCTCGTGGTGAAAGCGGTTGCTCCAGCTGGGGGCAGCAAAGCCTAAGGAATAAAGAGCATCAGCGGCCCTGCCTGCAGCAGCCGCGACTGCCCCATCCCTGGCAGTGCTCAAGGCCGGGTTGGACACAGGGGTTGGAGCAAGCTGCTCCAGTGGAAGGGGTCCCTGCCCGTGGCAGGGGCTGGAGCTGGAGGAGCTTTAAGGTCCCTTCAACCCAAACCACTCTGGGATGATGCTCACCAGTGCCGGTTACCATTCAAATAACCCTGAGGATTCCCCAGGCTGAGGAAGGCCCCTGAGGACCATCCTCACCCTCCCTCTCCTTCCACCTGCACCCTGGCTCTCACTCACACGCGCTCCGTACATCACGCACCAGCATCCACAGGTCAGGATTTCCACCATACCCAAAACATTTATTTCTCCAAAACTATTGCTAATGACAATGGATACATTGCGTTGCCCCAGGATGGATTCAACATTTCCAACACGTTTACTCCTAATACTGTACAATACTGTACCAAAAGGAAAACAAAAAAAGGGATGTACCTCCATATTGTACAGAGTTCTATATACAAAGTACAACTTTACACAGTTTAATATATACACCGTATATATATTGGTGTAGAAGACATGAAACAATGGAAACTGTTTTAGCAAGAACATTCCATCCCACCATTAGACAACTGCTAATAAAGCCCTAAACCCAAGGAGCCCGCGACCGCCGGACTCAGGGTTCAGACCAACAGAGAAAACACACATTTGTCCACTTTGCCACCCCAATTCCCTACGTTACAGCAGACCCAGGAACCACCACGCTCCTGTGGAACACAGCAGAGCTGGCTTTCAAGAACTGCCCTCGTCTGGCTACATGGAGCTGGGCTTGAGGAACCTGCTGCTCTCGAGTATTGCTCCAGCAGTTTGGCACCCTCAGGAGTCCATCCCGTTGGACTTCAGTCATTCCAAGGCAGGACTGGAGAGGAAAGGCTGGTGAAGTCCCCGTCAGCAGTAAGGTTACTCTAGTGCCTTGTAAAGGAAGGGTCCGTCTCTTGTTCCCATTGCAAACTGCTAAATATTTACCCTGTATGAAGCTTGGTATATCAAGTATTAGATAGCAGGGAGCTGCCTCCCTCTCCACCTTCACCTCTTTTTGGCCTGTGGTTGAACACCACCACTCTCGTCTCAAACCACATTATAAGAAGCACAAAATAGAACAGGAAAAAAACCCCACACACAGACTAAAAAAGAAACCTTGCATTTTCCAGGTCTTGAACTGCAGTTCTGGCATCTCCAGATCCACCAAAACCAGCCTCCTAAAAGCAATCCTGGAAAACAATTCATCTGCCTTCTGGTGGGCGCAAGGCAGCGGGTCAAGTAGTTTGATTTTCAAGTACCAGGTTGTCGCACACAGACAGAGGTGAGCAGAAAGCTGATCCAAAGAGAGGATTCTCTTCCACAGTGATATGTTCAGCTCAAACCCCAAAGTTCAGTCTAGAGCCCCAGTGAGCACTTGGCCTTTTTCCAGACCTGGAGGCTGGAAGATTCCACAGGGAGCAATATTCATCCCAGAGAGAACATCACTGCCTCCCATGAAGGCCTCCAGTGCTACCAGTCTGCTAGGGAGACACCTTCATGTCTATGATCATGCTGGTGAGATGTTTGCCAAGGCCAGGTGACGAATGGGAAACCTGCATCTCCAAATACATCGTGCCCCAAGCTGTTGAACCCATTTTCTGTTCTGTTTGTGCTCCTTGGTGATGGAAGTGCCCAAATGCTTCACTTTTCCTTTGACTCTTCTTTTAAAGCAGTTTTCCTACCTTGCAGCTCACAGATCCATGAGTAAATGCAGTCAGGGCTTGACCCTGCCCAGCGCAGGTACCCCCAACCTGATCCATTGCAGCAGTCCCACATCCTGAACCCCAAGGGGCAACAGGCAGATTGGGGCCCAACACTTCAATGCCTTCCCAAGTTGAACAGACAAACAGTCTCAAGGGATGTTTTCCATCAGTACCATTGCCTCCCTACTGAGCTACACCCTCCTGAGAGCATCATCTCCTTTACCTCTTCTCTCCATATGGATTTCCTCAGGCAGCAGAGCATCCACACCCAGGTACACCTATGGAAAGGAGCTGAAGTGCTCACCAGAGACATTTATTCTATTGAAGAACATATCTTGAATGAATTTTGAGGGTTTGACACACAGGAGAAGTAAGGCAGCAAACTCCATCTGCAACGACCTCTTTTTGTCTTATAATATTGCTAGAGCTCTGCCAAGCACGGAGGCAAACAGTGAGGTGGGAATCATGACAGATGGAATTCCTTGCCCAGCTCTGAAGGGTTTTGATTCGGTAAATAAATGAGAACTCGGTTATCTTAACCTACTTTTGTGCAAGAACAATCTTGCCTTAACAATTAAATCAACAAAGAAATCAACATAAAACTCCCCAAACCCAACACATGAGGTATTCATCACAGGAAACCCAAAGACTCTTTCGGAACAGGTATCAAAATACACACATATACAAGGATTTTCTGCTGCTGTCACAGTGCACCCTAATGATTTCATCGTTTTCATTGCAACCAGATAGCCAGGACAGAGAAAAGTGAGAGTTTGCTCATGTCCCACTGCTTTGACATGGATAACAACTTTACAACTGCTAAACCACGAGCCTTTGGATTACCTTGGAGAGGCAGGAATTCAGCAACCGCTGAACCACGCTGCTCAATTCCCAACTCGGGAGAGAAAACATGAAAGGTTCGAGCTTCAGAAACCATGACGACTGATCACCTAAATGGTATTTTATTTTAAAAGCGGTGCTTTGGATTACTTCAATCCAGCATCTGTTGAACAAGAATCCTTTGTTCGTACAAAGCACTATCAAACAGACAGACATTATTCCAGTTATCTAACACTTCTTGTCTTGATATTTGACACAAACGTTACACAAAAGTCATGAAAGAGAATCTCCATGGAAGAGCTGAGATTTCTTCTGAGTATGAAGGTATGAAGTAACAGTGGTACCTCCCCAGGCAAACCACCGTGTCGTGCTTGTCCACCCTGCCTTGGTCTCTTCAATGAGACGCCCACTGGCTTTGCAAGGAGTGGCGCGGACGCTTCCAGTTTCTCCTTCCCACCTCTCCTGCAGCAACTAGTTGTAAACCACTTGTGGCAACTTCTCCCAGCCTTGTATGTTCACAGGGTGAAGCAGGCAAGCTCAAAAGCTCCTTTTTCTGTCTTATCCTCCCCTGTGTGTGCGTGTGTGAGTTTCCTGCTGGTTGGCCAGACCCGGAGCCCATGGCAGAGGAAGGATGAGTTCAGCCTGCTGTATTGCTTGCTGTCAAGTGGAAGTGTCAATCACAGTGCACACCAAAATTCCAGTTGAGTTGCTCAAGAGACAGGTTATCCTGCTAAGCACATTCCCCTTGACAGTAGGATTGTCCCCAAGCTGTGGATGCTAGAGATAAGCACAGTAACTCAGATACAGACAGTTGCTGTTACAGTAACCTGAAGTCTTATTTTTTTCGTTAAATCTCAATTGCCATTCATACTTCAGACCTCAAAGGTAGAAAAGAGCATCTCCTCCAAATGTGCTGTGCGTGGCTGGACACTTAATTCTTAGAAACACGACTGCTAGGCATCAAAGTCTAAAGAAAATAAGGCATTACAAAGGAGCCGAAGTAAATGTACAGAGAGCCTGCTCTTGACACAGATTAACTTTGGTCATTCATGACCAAGAAGAAAACAAACCCAAAACCTCCCTACTTAACAGGAAATGCCAGAAAGTTCTGCCTGAGCAAAAAATTACAAGTTTAATCCTAGTTTTCCCCAAAAGAACAAGTGATTCCTTGGTGGCAAAAGTCCATCAGAACCTGAGAGCAAAGGTCGCTGGTCACACTGTTGGGGAGCTTCCCCTGCAGGAGGAATGGGGCATGGTCCAGCGACAGCCACACACGTACCACGGCGCTTCCCAAGGGGAATGGCTGCTACACATCAGCTAAGGAGGAATGGGTAATAGTGTTCTCATGGAAATCTTCCCGCTGTTCCCCAACTGTAGGGCGCAGAGCGCGTTGGTGTTTTTAAAAGCCATCCTCAACATGGATATATAGCTTCTGTGGGGGGGTGCGTGTGGGGATGGACAGGGACACAGTAACCCCCTGCCCCTTTCTCAGGGTCCCAGCCTAAATGAAACAGAAGAACACATTTCAGAACCTGCTCTTAGAAATGTGAGCTCTGTTCCTTCTTTTTGAATTCCCAAGTGCTAATGAAAACACCACTGCTGTCACAAGGAAGCCAAGGGTGAGAAACCCACAGATTTCAAAGCAAAATGGGAGAGAAAAATGACTTTTCCTCTCTTGTCCTTGCCTGAATTTCTGTGATGAAAACAGGAGATGCGCAGGGTTTCATTTAAATCCCAGAAGAGCTTGGGAAGGAGGTGAACTGAGGGTCAGCCAGAGTCTCCTCTCCTGCAGGACTGTGGGATCTTCACCACTGTAAGTGGCACACGCCTTTTATTTTGCTTCATTAAATAAACGTCAGCATTATGGAAGATTCTCAGTAGAGTACAAAAGAGTTCGTGCAGCCTGCTAGAGGCTGAAGCATTTGCTGCCTGCCTTATAAATACAAGTCCTAAGCACTCATTCCCATGTCTTAGTCGTACGGAGGGCATGCCAGCCTAGCAACAAGCACGTAGGGAAGCCACTCAGAAGCTGCATGCTGTCCCATCACTGTCCCCAGCAGCATCTCCTACACTGCTCTATGAGAGCAGAGATCCCTTAAGCAGTTCACAGTGGTCACAACCACCGACCAAAGTGATTGCAACCAGGGAGAGGGAGAAGATAACAAAGCTTGAGAACTTCTGGGTTGAAGTTTTTACAGTGCTTGGAACAGGGATTTTGGTAAGGATCCATCCTGACGTATGATCCAAACAAGAATGTGTGCGTTAGGAAATGAACTCCCATCAGAGTACACTTAGTTTCCAAAAGTTAACTTGTTTGTACATTCAGTCTCCCGAGACCACACACCACAGCATAGCCCATGGGCTGAAAATTACACTCAGAAACAGTAGAGCTGGGTTTAAATACGGGAGAGCAAAGGGGGGGGATGGGACAGCTACACTGTCCATAAGCAACAACTGGGCTCTTTCTTCTGCTCCTAAACCTCAGGAACACGTTTGTTTGTATTTGCACAGACACAGATTACGCAGAACTCCACAAAACCTAAGAGTGCTCCAGAGTGAACTATTCTTCATGACAAGCATCAACTAAAGCATGAGGCAGGATGGCCAAGAGCCCTGGCCCTGGGGGGAGCAAACAAACAAAACCCGAGGATGGGATGGATGTTGAGAGAGACCCTAAACCATCGTGGCACCAGCGGGCGACGTAATCATAGTAAGAATGCACAAGAAAGGGGCATGTCCAAGCTCCACGTAACCAGTGGCACCAAAACATGCAGTAGACTAAAATCTATCCTATTGTTTCCCTGTGATAAATGAAACACAGAATACAGAAGTCACTACACCAGTATTCAAAACAGGACGCCACTGAGTATTCCTTTCAGCGGCCAAACACTTGAACAAGGCATCAACTAGAAACCAAGATCCAACTCATCACTTTGCGTGTGTATTTCTTCCTCCTCAGCTTCACAGTGACCCGAGCCCGCGTTTCCGAAGCGCAGCCTGACGGACATCACTGATGCGGGTACATGGGATGAGGTTGTTACCACTTAGTTCACTCCCAGGAAGTGCTCCCAGCAGGAAGGAGCAGTTCACAACTAACCTTCAGTTCAAAAGCAGGAGTTACATGGGAAGTTTCACGTCTTTGAACAGAGTCTCCTTGTCTGAAACGACACAGCTGTATCCACGGAGCAGCAGCGCGGAGCTCCTCAGACAGTACAGGACTTGTCAGCAGGCTGCTGAGGTGCAGAGGAGGCAACGCCAGGGTTCGTGGCGTTGGTTTTAGGGAATACCGTGGGCTTGGGCCGCGTGGCCGGAGGTTTCACCTGCGTGGCCATCTTCACTGACTTCACGGGCCGGAAGGTGCAGGGGATGTCACCGGCGGTGCTGGCGCTGCGCTGGAAAGCTGGTTCAGTGTCCTTGAGGATCTGAGTGTGCAGAGGGCTGGAGGGTTCCGAGGTGGGGGCCACCACTGGAGACGTTTTCAAAGGCTCCAGGGTGTCGAGGACCACGTCTGGCGTGTGCTTGACGCTGCTTTGCCTCTCCAGCTCCCGCAGCTCGTTCAGAGCAGAGTTCATGGTGGCTTCGATATCCTGCAAACACAAAAGAGGAACCGAGTGAGGACCAGAACCCAGACCCGTGAATACAGAGATACAAGGCAGTCTTTGAGAGCAACGTGTTCGTTTTCAGCCTGTAAACACCAACGCTCCAATCAACTGGCAGGGCAAGGACCTTTAGGTGTCAAAGTGAAACCCATGCCAAACTACACTGCAGTACATACTGAAGCCAATAAGCAGTAACATTTTCCGTATCGGGGAGCAAAGTCATTGCCAGCACTGTCTCAATGCTAAACTGGTCCTTCACTGGTCCTGGTGCTGCTTGGACTTCAAGGACAATCCCCAAAACACAGCAATGAGCAAAAAAAACCACGGGATTCCAAGTATGAGGACCCATTCTTGTACTTTATTTGGCACGTGAGATTCAGGAGAGTAAGTTCTTGAAGAAAAGCCTGATGATTTTGACACTGACTGATGGAGCTCACACCAACTGCTGAAATCCTTGTGTGCTCCTGCTGGTTTTCCTGCTGTCCAAGTTGTCCGAACCCAGGTCAGAAGGGCTCCGTGGTGGCCTTGGCAATGCTGGTACAGGCTGGTCTTGATCCCAGAAGTCTTTTCCAACCTGGTTGATTCTATCAAACTGCAGCTGGCACTTGTTCCTCTCATAAGGTATTACAGTTACTAACAAATACAAGGAGAACTTAAAGAGATAAACTTGATAAGGAGATGTCCCTGGTAAGAACAACTTAAGGAGACAGACTTGAGGCCTGGCTGTAGCAGGAGCGCCGCGTTGGCTCCAGCCTGTGCGCTGAGCCCTCCGGAGCTCCGCATCCACCGGGGAGCAGAGGAGCTCGGCCTGGCTCTGACTCACGCTTTGGCTGCAGCTTTGGAGCTTCCTCAGAGGTTTTTCAGGGGGTGGGGAAGGTAAATCAGGGAAGGAATGGTGGAGGAAGCCAGAGCCAGTAATCCGACACCCCGAGTCTATCTCGAGGCCAGGCACATTTTACTGATGAAGTTAGGGAAAATATGCAAAATGCATGATGATGGTGAGCTGGTGTTTGAATACAGAGTACAGGGCAAAGAGAAACACTGACTTAACACAGCTTCCCCCTCCTTCTATCCCCCCTTCCCCCTTTTATTCTCTTCTCCCCACTCCTTTTCTCTCTTTCCCCCCTCCTCTTTCCTTTTTCTCCCCAGCCTCTTCTCCAACAAGAACAATGGAGTTCAGGTTCTGGCAGGAAGAGGAGACCAAACAATTTCAGTCAGAGCGTAATTGAAAAAACAAAGAAATTGATTTGTGTCAACCAAAGCCTTGGAAGGACAAAGAAAGATGAAAACAAGAACCTTATATTATAATTCTACTGTAACAAACGGGCTAAAGATACTAACCCAGCAAAATACAACCTCCCATCAGAATACGGATCAGGTTTTTATGTGGATCTTATCTGTTGTTTGGTGCTGCTGTTTTGTCAATAAGAATTAAGTTTAATTTTAACATCTCTTCCCCCAGCTCCTTAGAAACCTCCGGACTCCTGAACCAGGCGGAGAAGTTGGGTCTCCCAGGGCTTTGTAATCCGAGAGCCAAACATTCCTTGGCTTTAGATAGATCCATCGCATACTGAAAACAGTTGGTACAGGCAACATGTGTGTGCAGGCACATCTAACAGCTTGGAGAGGGAGAAAGGGAAGATCCTTCATGGAAGAAGGGTATCTGTACTGTTAGCATCGTTCACCCTGTCAGTAGCTGTCGCTTGCTCAAATCAAAGCCTGACTTGCAACTGTTTTCTGCTGAAAAGCCTGGAGCCTGGCTCCAGAGCAGAGCTGCTCCAGCCCTTGCAGCAGCTCTGTGGCCTCCTCTGCACTTGCTCCAACAGCTCCACATCCCTCTTGTGTTGAGGCCCCGGAGCTGGACACAGAGCTGACTTCCCTTGTTACCTGGTGAGGGTATGGAGCCAGTCCCAGAGGCAGAGGTCTGCTAAGCCTGAGCACAGCTGCACAAGCACCACTAGCCTGCCCTTGTTTCAAGGCACTTGTCTGAAGAAATAACTAAAGAAAACTAGCAGTATCATGTTCAAAGTTGGTTTCCAATCATGCAGTGAACCCTGTAAGCATATAAAGATGCCCTGTACAACTCAGCAGCCTGCTTTTATTTTGGCTGTACTACTCCACATGCTTGCAGTGTCTAACCACATGCAAGTTTGCACAACTGACAAGAGACTGTTAAAATGACACTAAATACTTTACTTTTCTCATGTCCTGAAATCAGGATAGCTTCATTTTTTGCTGACAGCTTTGAAATACATGTAACTTTCTGGACTGGACATTTTTATTGTTGAAACTAAATTCTGAAGCATGAACAGCACCAAGTTTTTTACGGAGGAAGGACCTCAGTGTTTATCTTTGCTCATGAAAGCAGTCTCAGTGACTTACAGAAAGTGAGCTTGAGAGACTAGACTCAAGCTGTGCTGTAAGTCAATACTGCATCGAGAGAAGGGAAGGGAGAAGAGATTATATCAGACTCGCATTAAAACGTCTCATTGTGTCCAACATCCTTCAAGTTTCCAAAACAAATCTAAGGCAAAGCGCTCCCATTTACCTGTGCAATAACTTCAGGGTCCATGGGCCGATGGTTGTTGAAGCTCTTGGACCTCCCTGCTGTCACAGTTTTCCGGATCTGGGGGCTGTCTATCCTGTTCTTCAGAGACGAGTGTCGGCTGATAGAATTGAGGCTGCCATGGCCACTGATGGAGCATTTATCTGGAACCTCCTTGGGAAGACTTTGGCTCATAATGGGCTGAGATGAGGGTCTGGAACCGGCTATGGCTCCTGGGGAGGCTGGTTCTGCCATTGAACTACCTAGTCCATGGCTCTCACTTTGACGGAAGGCTCTTCTGATGCTGCCTGACTCTGGTTTCTTTCTTTGCCTTCAGTCACAAAAGCAAAACAAATCAATACAAGCAGGTACACGTAACGGGCTGTCATTTGAAGATATCCCCCCAAAACAACACAGAGGACAATGGGAAGAGACATGAAGATGCCCAGATTACAAATGCACTCGGGATTTTAGGAGTCTTTGTGGAAACAGTAAAATCATTCCAGTTTAACACTTCTAACAACAAGACTGAGTTTCTGGCAGCTGTGCACATTCATAACAAAAACGGAGAACTCGGATGGAATTAACTTGGTCAAGAGGAAAAGGATTTATATTTGAACAAAAAAAACCCTCTGTGCCATCGACAGGTTTTGATGATGTGTTTTTATTACATTAGAAGAGCAGAGCTACAATTTTTGACTGGAGGACACAGTATAAGTCTACTAAGCTCCTGGCCCAAGGCATCAAGTTGTTATTTTCAGAGACTGATAAGCAAAGGACCCCTTAGTTTGGGGTTAATGACAATTTCCAGTATTTGCTGGTGGTAAGAGATGTTTCTTTTTCATTGCTTTAGCAGCATCACAAGGCATTATCTGTGTAGGGCTACAGATACACCAAAACATGATGTCAAATGGATGAGCTGGTCCAAACAATTTAGTTTCTACCCCAGCACCATGCGGTCTGACAGCACGATTCCACTCAAATCATATGAAGGCCAATGCAGCAGAATACTTTATGCCATAGGTCTGAAGCTTGGCATCCATTATACAGGGAAGGATCCATTTATATATAGCACCAGCCCCATGAGTAACTGCAAGAAAGTGTTAACTCCAGTAGGATTTTGGCATCCAAATAATAATTCAGTGGGTGGCACAACTGTCATTGCGAAACCATCTGATTTAATTTTGCTCAAGTCTGTTCACACATAGGTCAGAAGATTCATTCCTAAAGAAAAAACAACAAAATGAGTCTTATGCTACTATTGCTAAATATCAGTTTCCCTAGGAAAGGGAAAAAATACGGGAGTGGACATTACCCAGGCTGCTTAAAGGCACTACATACAACACTACACACAACACTACCAAAACCAGCAGATGCTGAAGCTCCAGCACAGGTCTATTCATTATATACCCATAAACTAAGGACCAGGCTCTGTGTAGGACATGAGCAGGTCCAAACCTTTAAAAAGGATTAATTTCTGTTAATGCCTTCATAGATCACACTTTGTTACATTAACTGAAGGGTAAAAACATCCACTCCCATCATACTGCAATTTCATGTTAATATCTTTACTGCACAATAGAGATAGGCGGGGTTCTTTTACTACTAAGGAAATAATCAGAGAGATATGGGGGATAAGCCTGGTCCAGAATAAATCAATAACAGAACAAGGAATTTAGTCTGTTACTAGCTTAGTTACACAGGGGTTTTATTATGCTGAATGTTGGCTAAAGTAACCAATTGTGGTTGAGAAGGTAAAGTTAGCAACAGGGAGGTGTGTTGTTGCACTGCAAGCATATGGTTAGTAACCTAAGGTGAGAAGTGCTGGAGAAACAAAGAATGTTACAGGCAATGCCAGATGGTGGGCTGAGGCGCTGTCATTCAGCACGGGACGTGACACTCGTTTCTGAAGGCACTGCCGCCCACCCCATAAACTAAAGCATGTTAACTGTAAATGAGACATAACAAATCACAGGACAGGATAACAAATGGGAACACAGGATTACAAGAACTCATTCCGCTATTCCCCTCCCTTGCTCTGTGCGCTGAGCTTAGAAAATAGGACGTATTTGGGCAAGAGGGAACAGATGGCACCTTCGAGAGAGGGAGGAGAAGCCGGTGGGATTTTAAATGAGCATTGGCCACGCTGATGACACAGAAAGAGGGGACAGCAAAATGTGATCAAGTTAGAAGAGGGGGAAGCAGATTAAAATGGTGGCAGCGCTCATTAGTCAACCTTTGCCAGGGAAGGAAGTCTTTTCCTGGACCCATCACCAAGATGTGTACAGTTAAAGTATAAGAATGCAAGGCTGTTCTTACTTGTTGATGTTTGCAAGGTAAATATCTGCGACGTGACCCCCACTTGGGCAACTGGCACCAGCTCGAGCCGTCACTTTTTCTTCCGGTGGCTCAGAGTTTATTTCTATCTCAGACTTCGGACTGGATCTTTCAGAGGCACCATCCTCACTAGGAAGGAGGAGGGAAGGAAATCACAACCCGAACAGGACCAACAGCAGCGGCTTTCAATCACAGCACTGCGAGCACACATACAGGACAACAGCACCGTGCTGGCATCTTTCTCTTAAGAGTTATTATTTGTCTTTCAAAGGAGAGAGCCTGATTTCTGATGGGCTTTCAAGGGTAACATACGTGTCTTGAACGACGATATACTGATGAGGAATAAGGCCGTCAATTCCATTGTGGCGTCCCTCCCACCAGTCATCTGAGGCCCGCTGATAGAGCAAGAGAGAAGCTCCTTTCTTAAAGGACAGCTCTCGTGCAGTCCTGCCAATGTAGTCGAACTTCGCTATCGCTTCTATGGGCTCACACTCTAGGAGATAGAAGGGAATAAACAAGAATTCACTAAACACTTGGGCTCAGGTAAGTATTCAACAGTTTAAACCTACCAGAAAACAGCCTCTGATGAGAGCACGGAAGAGGATAAAATGCTGCTTCTTAAGGCAGCAGAGGGTTGAAGCAGCAAGATTCAGAGGGGAACCCCTATAACAGGAGGATGTTGCTATTTCAGCATTTCCCTAATGTTTATGGGATGGACACATTCCCATTTCCCAAGTCAGAAACCACTTTCAGCAATTGAAATCTACCAGGGTGGAAGTGGCAATGGCAAAATTAGCATCCCAGTAACATAAAGCACCAAAGCTGAGGAGCAACCAGGTATGGTCCAGACAAAAGCCTGCCTGTGGTCTGCTTTCTTCAAGGCAGTTAAAGTAAACCTCCTGGGCAGGCAGGGGTTGTTATTGACATTTAGGGAGGGAAACATCCTCTCATTCCAAGCTGCTTCAGAAATAAAGCATCCATTCAGAGGGAAGTTTCTGCTGCCTGTGAGGTTCACCTGACCCAGGAGACCGGATTCAGGCTCTGTGGGAGGCTGTGCTATTCATCCATGGAGGTTAAGGAAAACATGCAGTGCCTCCAGGCCGTGGTCTGTGCAGGCTCAGGAGGGCAAGCTGCTCCCCCAGCACCGCACCATGCCCAGCACCGCTGCGCTGGGAGCTGCTTACCCTGCTCCGAATCCAACCGCTCCTGGAATCTGAACTACAGCCATGCTGTGTGCGCAAGCAGGCACTAATCTGGGTCCCTGCAGGACTCTGCTATGATACAGAGGGACAATATGGGCATTTAGACACTCAGGAAAGTCAATATGAAATTCACGTGGATTATTTTTGAGGCTTAGAAAGATCTGCCATTGGTTCAGCCTAAATACACATTAAGGCAGCTCCTGCTTCTAGGCAGGAATCAGGGGAATGGAGATGAGCTCAAGCACACAGCCCCAGCAGACTTCAGCCTCTAATTACTTTAAAGGAGCTTTAACAGAGCTGAGGAGTCCATGGAGGTTGAGTTCTTCCCTGGAGAAAGAGATTTGTGGCTGCTCCTCCTGGACAAGGAAAAGAAGCCATTTCATACTGAGATCTCCTCTGCATCATGGAAGCTTCTGCAGTGCAAGAGCCAGCCAGAAGGACTGAAAGGCCAAACATGAGCCACAGCTTTAACAACAGGGAGAGCATACGCTCCAGAATTACACCTTCAAGGCTGCCCATAGGCAGGCAAGGTAGTAACTGGGCTTGAAAAACTGGTGTAAATCCATCCATTACTAAACCAGGCAGCCAGGATTCGAATCACACATTCAGGTAAGCCTGTGGACAGCCTCACATGAACCCTGTTATCAGCCCTCAGCAACCAGAGGAGATCTGCAGAGGAGAGCCTGGCCCATGGTTGCAGCCTGCAAGAGCTGCCTTGCTCCAGACTCCCCAAAGCACATGGTTATCCGGGTTTGGCCCCTTCATTCCTCTTGCCTGGTCTGCCTCTGGAGACAGCTGCTTCCTAACACTAAGGAAAAGCTAACGCTGGGTTTTGGTGTCCCCTCCACTCACGAAGGGGATGGGACCTGGTAAATTCCATCTGTTTCATTAAGAAGTGTTTATTGTTCCAGATGAGTGCAGCACTCAGGTTTCTTATGTTTCCAATTTGCTTTTTAGGACTTTGGCTTTCATCCAGAGAAGTGATTTTAGCCTCTAATTTCCAGTAGCTTTTTCCTACTACACTTATGCTCAGAGAGAAGAAAGCTGTGTGAATGAAGAGCAATAAGGCTAAGCCAAACAACCATCTCTGCCAGTCTGACAGCCTGCACAGGAGAGCAGAGGCTTAAAATCTTTCCACTCATCCCCATAATTTAACAAACATACAACCAGCTTGTCTTGAAGCATTTCCGACCTCTGATGCCCGTCTCAAACCAGAGGGTCCACTCACTGGAGGCTGATGGTGAAGAGCTCTGGTGCTCTGCAAAACACAACCTCTCCCCCCACCCCAAAACTGATTGCTTCCTCCCACGAAGGCGGCTGGGAAGACAGATTTACTTTAGGGGGATGAGTGCCAGCCTCATGAAAGAGCTAAAGGAGCAAGTGCTTCCCATCTAAACACTGAAGGAGTGAGAAAAACCTAACAAAAGGAGCAAGTGCTTCCCATCTAAACACTGAAGGAGTGAGAAAAACCTAACAACATCCATGCTGGAGTTGTATGCTGCACCTCTGAGAAGTGTGCCCGAGGCGTGCCACTGCACGGCTCCATTAGAAGGATGTGATACTCCTTAGCCAGCCCTTGCTCTGCTCCCTCTAAGAGATAGAGGCCCAGCTCCCTCCTCTGCTTCAGTGCCAAACGCTCCTTCCCAAATGCTTCCTATGGAATATTCCATGTAGGTTGCAGAACTCCATCCAATACGCCTCCAAATTTTACCTTGCTCGGGGCCCCCATGCAGTGTAGTTCCAGAGGCTGCAGAACTGTGTCCTGCTCTCATCTCTAACTGCTCACTTTCTCATCGTTGCACCCTCTTAGCCACAGAAGCGATCTAAAAACCCCATCAGAGACAATGCAAGTGCACACCAGCCTGCAGGCTTTAGTCCTGGGCTTTACAGTGCAGGATGAGTTAGCCTTTCCTTCATTACAGCAATGAAATTGCCCTTTCTATAGGTACAAACTCACAAAGGACATGTTCTTGTGGGTTTTTGAGAAGCTAACACTTTACAGAAAGAATATTGTTCAAGTGAACTCATGTTTCATTCCTGCAGGCTTTGTGTTTCCTTCCAACAACCTTGGTGAGGAGTTGCTGTGACAGCGCTTGACCTTGCTGAGGGAGAATGGATCTCCAGCATTGCAAAGCAGTGCTCAACATCCTTTACTTTGTTACTGCTGCGTGAACACCATGAAGCCAGCAGGAGCACAGGAACGCCATAGGAAAGGGTTGTTAGGCAACTGCTGCAGCAAAGAGAGCAAAAAGCAGCACAGAACATGGCAGGGCTATCGAAAACATTCCTGAAGGCCAGCTCAAAAAGGATGCCACCTAATTCTAAGGGAATGCTCCCTGCTCCCCACCTTCACAGCTGAGGCCATCACAAGTAAAACCACCACAGAACAACCGCAGGGGGCCAAACCACAAGAATAAAACCATCTTGTGCCCTGCTTTGGTCAGTTTGCTTCACGCACTGGTCAGTATTCTGGGGATCACCATGTCACACCAGTAACATAACCTTTTTCTCTGCTCTGCATGGGGCTCATGGATACAGCCATTTCCCATCACAGGAGGCAGCTTTGGAAGCACCCATCACAGATACTCAAGGACTGAAGCATCACCTTTTCCTTAGGAAATACCACAGAATCCCAAGCATTGGCACCCCTTTTTACTGCTCACATAACAGAGTCTCCCCAAGGAGACCTGACGAGAGAGGACCCTCTACCCTAAAACCTGGCTCTCAGTGGAAGACAAACAGGTTCTGATTTTATTTTGCTTGCTTCCTTAAAGCAGACCCATTGGGGCTCAAAGCCCTCCCAGTCCCCTCACCAAGGCTTCCCAAATGAGAAATGCCTGGCACCACCTGATGGGAGCGCTGAAACACATCCAGCCTTTGGCTCTCCAACTCTAGGATCCTTCTAGGATACAGATAAGCTCAAACAGTCATGCTAAGATGAGATGCCCTTGAAAAGAAGGTATACTTTCAAAATAAGATTGCAAGGATTCCTGTTGATCCTACACTCTTCTACTTCTTGGCATCAAATGCTGCAGGTGACATTTCAAGTGCCTAATCTAATTTAAACTCTGATTTGGATTTCATCTTGAACTTAAATTGCATGGCACTGTCTTCTCTGCCTCCCCCACAGCAGTTTTGCACCAGTTAACCAAGCAGCTAATAGACTCCACATACCATCATCACTGGTGTGGTGTTCAGTCGTAACGTCCTGAACAGAGTCTTCTGTTGAGGCTCTCTCCCCATGAGGGCTTTCACTACAGGAGAAGGGAACAGAGACGGTGATTTACACTGGTAGAAATTGAGGTTCCTCATCTACAGCAATCAAAGGTAACCAGGAACATCTATATCAGAAGTCAGAGAATCACAGAACGGTGTGGGTATGAAAAGGCCTTAAGATCACCCATGGCAGGGACACCTCACACGAGACCATATTGCCCAAGGCTCTGTCCAGCCTGGCCTTGAACACTGCCAGGGATGGAGCATTTACCACTTCTTTGGGCAACCCATTCCAGTGCCTTGGCACCAATACCTGGGTTCCTCTGCCTCACACACTCTGTGGGTGCATTTGCACGTACTTAAGTTAGCGTGAGTGAAACCCAAGTTTTCATGTGATCAAGCCAAGTGAACACCTTCATTACAACCTTCTTGTGCGCTACCAGGAGAGTCCAACTTCAGGTCTTATAACCCAGAGCTTTGGAGACGTTGAGAGGTCAGACAGCATGCTGGGTCTAGCTCCTCTCTGCCACGCCAGAATCCCACCCTCAGCTGTACTCTCCACTGTAAACAGCCCATTAGGTGACTGATGAGAGAGCTGCCACTTCCCGAGGGAAATGATGTCTCAATTCAGAATGGTATTTCCAGGTCTGAAATACTTCCATTGCCATCTCCCCCCTTCCCTTTTATCACAAACTTATATTGTCCCATTCATTGCACCAAACAGCTCCCACAGCCAGATTAATTGCCTGAAATCTTTATCCACAGAGCACCTAAACCACCAAGAGTACTCCTTTATGAAGGAAAGCTTTGACAGGATCAATAGACAAGTGGCAACCAAAGGTTATGTTTTGGTAAGAAGCTCCATGAGCAGTGCCCTTGGGACAGGAGCAGAGAGGAAAAGCAAAAAAGAAGCCTTTATGCTACTTAATAAAGTTACAGAAGAATTTGAAGCCAAATGGAAGTCCCAAGAGGAACACAGCATTGAGGGCTAAAGTTTCACACAGACTGTGAAGTAATGATGCATACAGCCAAAACCCACATGCCTCTTCCTATCCATGCCTCCAACAGCACTTTCCACCAAAACCATCCCTGTCCTTGCTGCAGACTGAGTCTCTCTATCACGTGAGCCCTGGGATACACTCATAGAATGGTTTGGGTTGGAAGGGACCTTAAAGCTCACCTACTCCCAACCCCCTGCCATGGGGTGAAACCCAGCCACCCAGGGCTTCCCATTGCAGCATCCCAGGTTAAACAGGGCTTGGAGCAAGCTGCTCTAGTGGAAGGTGTCCCTGCCTGTGGCAAGGGCTTGGAACTGGATGAGCTTTAAGGTCCTTTCTAACCCAAACCATTCTGGGATTCTGTGATTCAGCTGAAGTCAAGGATTCTCTCTGCTGCTTTGCACACTCTGTGGTGAGAAGCCCTATGGGCGATAACTAACAACTATCTAAATACCAGGCCTATGAGAAGGCTTGAATGGGAACCAGATGCTTCTTCCTGGCTTTAAGCAGTCCCCTCTTGCTTGCTTCTACCCTCCTCTCCTTAATAGGTTCTCAGGTCTGGGTGGTCAGGAAAGGCAATGAATGCCTTCAGAAAATCACTGTTACCTTCCAGGACATTTTGCCTTCTACATGCTCAAGTGAGGTGTCACCCATGCTGAACATGTCACATTCTGATTCCCTTCACCTTATGGGACAAAACCTCTTGGCAAAGTGGATGTGTTTCCTGAAGGTCACAACAATCCTTCCCTTTCATTTTCTCTACAATTCCCTCACATATAACATCAGTTAAAAACATCAGAGTAAGGGTAAAATTAACAGCACTTCCAAAAGAGGTTCTGGCAAGTGTGCTGCACGCAGCAGTTAGCCTGGAGGAGCCTCTCCTCACCCGCGTACGTGGAGCAAGCTGACAGTCAAAGCTATCCTGAAGCAAGCTGGGCAGACAAGGCTTGCTCTGTCACCAGAGTGCCTGCCTTTCAAAACTGCATTTATTTCAGCATAGGAAAATAATCATTTGCATTCCTGGGACACGGGGGGAGGGAAGGGGAGCTGGGGGGAGAAGCAGGACACAAGCTAACATTCCTCCTTTTCTGAGGGAGAGAGCAGCTTGGCCGGTAGGAAAGCAAACACCTCCTTTCCTTCCCCCACTCCCCAACCTTCCACCCCAGATGACAGGAGCCGCGCTGCCTGAATTGCTTCCAGATGTGCCTCTCCAGCTGCGCACGCGGCCAGGCCCCGGGAGCTTTAAGCTGGATGGAAATGGTGATTTTGCATTCCTGCCTCTTCCCTCCCCCACCAGCAGCTCTGCCCTGGAAATTAAACCGTGGCACAAGCTTTCCAGGTTCAGCTGCGAGTGACCCCTGTGTCTGAAGCAAAGGCGCTCAAGACAAGCAGGGAAAAAGGCAAAAGCAGGAGAGAAAACAAAGAAAGAAGGGGAAAAAAACAGAAATAATGGCTTAAAGAAGGTTGGTTTTGGCAGCTAATAAATAAATATCCACCCATTCATCTCCTCCTCTCTCCTACCAGTAATCCTCGGTGTTTCCACCTCTGCTATACACTGGTCCCTCCAGTTCCCTCGGTCCCGGGAAGATGTTCTCATGTTGGATGATGATGGTTTTGATCAATTCATTGACATGAGCTTGGCAAGAGACTTGATCATGACCTTCAGGCACAGACATGAGCGTTGGCCCAAAGCAGATGGCTAAATTGTAGGGATCCATCATGTTCTCTTCACTGAACTGAGATAAACTGCAAAGAAGACAGAAGTGGGGAGGAGGGTTAAGAGCAGAAAACATCATCAACATCATCATCATCATCATCATCTGCTATCATCATGCATCACCACAGCTGAGCTTGGAAGGTCTGCTTTGTGCTTTCTGCACCTAAATGGTATCCACTTTCATTTCTGGAACTTCTTTGACATTGCATTCATATCACTGGGATGAATTCTGGCAAGGCTCATACACCCAGGACAACAGGTTCAAAAGCAAGCTATGGTGGCATTTGTACCTTGCAGCAATGTTAAGGTTGGTTCTGCCATTCATCCCATTTACCCCAAGGGCCACGGTGCTCCCAAGGATACTCACTGATTGAGGAATGCAAAGAGGTATCTCATTACAATCAGAGTGGTCTTCGGCAGGTTCAGAAGCACCTTCCGGATGTGGAGCGCTCGCTCTTGTAGATTATCCATTGCTGAAGGGAAGAAAGAGCCACACCGAGTCACCCTACCTGCAGCCTGCCACCGAGTCCAACCACAACCAGCGTCCTACGACGGTTCCTGCACAGCTGAGTTAGGTGAGCAGCCAACAGAGCAGCAGCAGGATGAAAGATCCTCCAGCACTGCTCAGCAGCAGAACCTGCTGCAAAGAACCTTTGACAATGAAGGTTCCTCAACACTTGGAACTTCACTGCAAGTTCCTTCCTAGCGTGGGAGCACTGGATGTCATCTGTCTCAACAATGGCACAATAGCTCATTCAAGTTAGCTCAGAAAGGTGGGTGTTTAAAACAGAAACTGTACAACACTCAGAGGAGAATTAACATAGCTACAGGGTGAGGCAAAAAGCTCTGTGTGCAGCAGCTGCTGAGAAAGAAGTGGGCAGCATAAATCATCTCAGAAGGGAGAAGTGATTTGGAAGCACATTTTACTTTTCATATAATGTGAATTCAGCCCTGTAAATGCATTTATCAGGAGAAGAAAACCATGAGCTGTTTTAGAAGCACTTATCTTCTGCTTTACTTCAAAGGCTGCCACCGCAAAGGCCATGTCACTATAAGACTTGCATAATAGGATCATTCTTTGATTCTGAAGGACATGGCAATAGTCGGGCCATTTAAAATGAGGCTGCTCCCAGACAAACCCCACAAACCTATCAGAACCACCTGTGAAACCATCCAGAATATTAACAACTTGACTGGGACTGCCCTCCTGACTGATATTCTTGAACAGGAGTCAAGAGATGGCCCCTCATGGGTATGAAGCTAAGGGGTAGACAACTGCTGCCTTGCCAGCTGAAGAGATGTCGTGGTCCCAGCATGTACCAGCATGGCAGCAGCCATACAGCAACGTGCATCTAACAACATAAAGGAAAGCACCCAGAACAAGAAACCTGCTTCTGATGCCTTCTAATGAGAGGTCTTATAGGTTATTTTTCACAAGTCAGCGTTTTGGGTTTATTCTGTTTTAAAAAGAATCCTATCACAAAGCAGCATCTCAAAAAAATCCATGACAAGCCCTTGAAATCTGTTCATTTCTACCTCCTTGCTCATTCATAGCAAAATTGCTAGGAGAGGAAGGCTGGCTGCGAGCAGGGAACCGCCCAGTCTGTGGCTAACAGAGACCAGGATCCACTGCAACACAAACCCAACCAAAGGAACCACACAAAGCTCATTCTGCAGTCAGGAAAAAGGGGAAGAGGAGGAGAAAGAAGTGGGAGATGAGAAAAATGAATCCGATTTCTTTTCAGCTCTTCATATACTTACTGACACAGGCAATCAGATCATGAAAGATGTCCTTGGGGAAGAGAGGGTGCTCCAACCCTCGAAAATAGAGCTTCAGAACTCCTGCTATTGAGTCCATGTCATGGTCATTCTGGTCCCCAGCCAACGGATCTTCCCCTTTGTGACAAGCAAAGAAAAGCAGGCAAGAAAAATCAGAATAGTGGAGAGAAGCACCAGACTGGAAGGATGCACCTCAGCTGGAGAACAGGATTTATGCAGCACAAAGTCAATCCCACCTACTCCAACTGCACCACCAGCACCTACTGCTGAATTGGCTGGGGTGGGGGGGAGTGTTTCTGACAGATAATTTGTTGCTGCAGATATGCCACAGTTTGTCTGGATTACAAAAGAAAAGATGCCCACTTAAGGGGTTGTTCCCTAAGGAAAACTCCCTATCAGATATAATTAGATTTAATGATGGGGCAATCCTCAAATTGAAGCTATATATATCCATTATGTGACTGAAATTACCAAAGCTTGCCTATTATCTTAGTAACACACCGGATAATAAATGGGCTACTACAAACCCGAGCATTATCCTTGATATTAACTGCCACCAAGGGTTCTGGCTGAAGTAATAAACTGCAGAGACATTATTGTTAGCTTTGTCACTTCTGTATATCACATGCTTTATGGAGACAAGCAAGATGAAGTAAAGAAATATAACATCACCTTTTTATTTCTGCATGTTAGTGCAGAACAACTGCCTCCGTTCCCAAAATGACTGGTATTGGTTTAATGTGAAAAGGGGTCTGACTCTGATAGAAAGCCTTCACCTTCCGCTTATGAGACACATTCTGCTTTCCCTAGTCTTGAGGATTTTCATTCTCAGGTAGATGGAGAGGAAGACAGGGGAAATGAGATGCCACATTTCACACATACTGTTCAGTAAATGTCTCTCTTCTGAAAAGCAAAATAAACTTGCTATGCCTCATTAAAACCTGTCTCTCAAGCACAGAATACACTAACTCTCTTTTTTAGTGATGTATTCAGGGAACTGACACAAGTCCTGATGTTTCCAGTGACCCAAGGAGGACTGGGGAGGCAGGCTGTGAGGACTGCCTGAAGATCCAGTCCCTTGAACCTGCCCAGCCAGAAACTGATGGGTCTGGAGGCTCCCAGCCATTCTCTGCCTGTGTAGGGCATGGTTCTTCACATCCCAAATGCAATCTATTAAAAGCTGTGTCAGGTTAACTGTGTCTTGAAATGCACTCTCTCCCTTGCTGACATTTAGAATAAATGTAGCTTAGCTGTGCCTCAGTAACACAGAAAACATCAAATTCCCCCCTCCAGCAGCCAGCCTATTTGCAAAGAACAGGGGGAGAGGGTAGAGAAATGCAGTTACACCCCATAATGAAATTCTCTATAGCCTTTCGTGTTACAAATAATCAATAAGCTATCAGACACCAGAGAAGATTGAATTCAGAGCATTTATTATACAGACACTCTACAAGATATAAAGCATAATGCCAAACAAGTGAGTGTTCAAGGTTAATGAGCACTGGGGAGGTGTTTGGGCTGGGCTCACTTAGGAAACACAAGAATCAAAGGAAGCAAATCTCACAAGCTGCATTCAAACCAGGCCTTTCTAGGAGAAATTCACACATTCGGCAGTAACTTCTCAGATATTGGAACAGATCAATCTTACCTCTCTCAAATGCATTTTTTATGTCATTCACTTCAACCTGTGACCCAGACACTCGGAATATTCCTTCATGCTGCAAACCTGTAAGATGAGATGTTGATAACAGTAAGATAAGATAAGCTGGCACCTTCATCAGCTATTAGCCTAGATGAGAAAGGAAGCATAAGTAACACAGGCAAAAAACCCACTGTATTTTCCTTGTATGTCCGGGCATGTTCAGAATATGTAAAAATAGAACTCAGCATATAGAGAAAATACATTAACCCTTCTTTGTAACCTGACAGAGTACCCGGGTTCCAACAGCCACATGTGTTATCTCCTGCCCTGAAGGGTCCCCAAAGGATTTTACAACCCACAGAAAGTCATAAACTAACAGTGTATCAGCCAGAGGTAAAATATGGCCAACTACACAAGGAAGCACCTTATTTTGCAAAGGCCCAGAGCAAATCAGCCACTTGAAACAGAAGCATTTAATTACCCCAGCCTGACCTCCTATCTAGGCTTCGAGGGGAGTCTTTAAGCCACTCCTGCTAAAAAGGAAGCATTAGCAACATCAGAAAGCCCAGTTATAAAGGAGGCAGCTGCGACACGCTGCTCTCAACAGTGAAAAGAAACAATCCCAAGTGCAGGGAAGCAAGAAGGAAAATGACATTCATCCCACACCTACACAGCGACACACTGCAACTGTCAGTCAGGCTACCTCCAACAACGCTCCTTCCTGCAGCGTGCGTGCGTGCGTCAGGCAGCTTTAGCACTGCTGCTGCCTAACATGGGCTTGTGGTATAAAAATCCCACCCCTTCTAAGTCCAAGCTGCACCTCTGTGCCATGACCTGACACTCAGCGCACGAATCGGACAGATTTTCCCACAGACTCAACGAAGTTAACCCAGGAATAAGAATCTAAACCTCCTGATGTGTAGATGGAGGCCCTCAGTGACCTGGTTTAGAGGTGGCCTTGCAGTCCTGGGGTAAAGGTTGGACTTAATGATGTTAAAGGTCTTTTCCAACGTGCCCCATTTGTCATGCCCAGTTCTCACTGCAATGTGGTTTCAATGATTTTCCCAGCTAACGTCCAAGTACGGCCTTAATGAAGGATTAAAGTAAAGATGATGAGAATGGGACTCGAGATTAGAGTTTCTAATCTGGTAATTAAACAAGGAAAATGAAATGGGACCCACTACTTGACTCTGTTGTGCTTAATGAAGATAAATTCCATCCCTTTCTACATATGTTAATTCATAGCTGATTTCCATGCTCCTAACAAATTATACCAATTAAAAATGAAAGCAAATTACAATAAACATATAAAATCTTTATGCATCCATGGCTGTGAAGTTAACCTTGGAAACAGGTATAAATCATCTCACTGTGGCAATGAGCAAGCAATTAATTCACTACTTGACCTCCTACAGTGTGTTCCTCCTCCTCTAAGAAAAGCATTGATTGTTGGTGCTGAAGGCCACACTTCAGGGCTCAAAGCAAGGTGAGCGGTGGTGAGGCACGAGTGGTATCTGAGGCTGGGAACCTTATTTTACAAGAAGCAAAGGGATACTGCTGGAAGAACAACATTTGCAAGGATCCCCTTTGTCCATAAACTCACCGTGTCTGCTAATGAATCGTATGCAGCTCTCCACGACCAGGGGAATGGCTTGTGAGGAATCCTGGAGAGAAGGATTTAGACAAGAGCAGTCAGAACGCAGAGCAATGGTAAACGTGGAGAAAAGAAGAAGAATGGAAAGAAAAATCATCCTCTCATTTGCCACCTTCTGCTTCCAGGCAGTTCCAGATGTGTTTAGTGAATAGCCCAGCAGTGACTGCTGTCACAACCCACTCAATAAGGTCCTTGCTCACAGCAAACAGTTGTCAGTTCAAGGCCCCGGCGCAGTAACATCTTCTAGATGGCCTGTTTCCAGCTTATACAAGATTCAGGATGGAAATGTGCCTTTACACTTTGCTGGTCTCTGCCTCACAGATTACTTTCCAGACAACTGAATTTCTGCAGTGGCTGCAGTTATTCCTCCCATTTTGGGGAACAGCAACTGAGCAACCGAAGTGCTGCAGTCTGCTTAAGGTCAGATGCCAGTGAGTAAAATTACCATGTGATTAATACTTGAAGTGTCTGTTTCTGTAGTAGGAACTCGCAGAGAATCACATATTCTGGGTGCCCAGCAGAGATTAACCTCTCCAAGCAGTTCTAAATGTTAGGTGCCAATCCCAAAACCCCATTAATCCCCATTAAGCTACTGCGAGCTATGGGTTCAGGGTTTGCAAAAACATCACTTTCTAATTCAGGTTTCCAAACCAGAGGCAGAATATGCTCCTGAGACACCTCAAAAGCTACCTGTGAAAATGGCAATCACAGCACACACGGGATTCATTTTCAGCATAGCTAAGGACCATTTTAGAGCAATTAGGGACAACAATTAAGCTTAATAAACGAGAAAGGTCTGACTCTGCACATCAAAACTCCAACTTGCTCTCTTACTTCATTTCCAGTGTACAAAGAGCCTAAAAAGTACAAAGCAGTCCCTCAAGACAGACTGTATGAAAGACAATTCCAAGCCAAATTTTATCTTTACAGCATTAAGAAGAAATACTTTGGTTTTTTCCCTATCGCAAAGAAACACATTTGAGCTCATCAGGTACTGAAGAGTAACAGATTATCCACCACAGCCAGGGAAACAAAGCATCCCTGCTGTAAGTGCTTCTTACTAGAAGGGGGAATGGCTTTAACCTGCCAGAGGGGAGACTGAGATGAGCTCTCAGGCAGAAGCTCTTCCCTGTGAGGGTGCTGAGGCGCTGGCACAGGGAAGCTGTGGCTGCCCCATCCCTGGCAGTGCTCAAGGCCAGGTTGGACACAGGGCTTGGAGCAAGCTGCTCCAGTGGAAGGGGTCCCTGCCTGTGGCAGGGGTTGGAGCTGGAGGAGCTTTAAGGTCCCTTCCAACCCGAACCATTCCATGAGTCCATGATTCATGTAAGAGAGGGAGGAAGGATAAAAAGGACTTGCTTGCTTTCCCTCTGTCCTCCCCTGCACACACATCCCTGCTTGGTTACTTGAGGAAATGTTTGTTACCTGCTTCCTTACGGTGGAGCTGCGCCTGCCGCTGGGGAGAGCCGAACCACCCATGGGTGCAGGAGGGAAAAAGAGAAAAGTCAAGATAATCCTCTACCATCCCCATCTGTCCGGTCGGAATTCCACACCACCCGTATTTTGGAGGAGGGAAGGAGCCAGACAGACAGGTCAACCACAGGACTTAGTCTCATTCAATTCACGGCACTTCAGACAGATTTTAAGTAAGTTTCTATCACTAAAAACCTGGAATAGGCACCAGGGAGTCCACTGCTTTGACAAAAGATTACCCTTGACATTCTAATTCCAACCATGTGGAAACCTGTCCCATAGGGCTCCTGGTTGAAGATGGAGTTTGTTATCAGTTGCTCAGAGCTGTGCTCCAAAAGAGCTGCTCCATGGAGGGGAGAAGCAGGTGGGAGCAGGCTGGTTCCTCCAGGGCTGCTAACAGCTTGCACTGGGGAACCCTCAAACACAGCACACACCAACCAGGCTAAGCCATCGTGGTCTCAGTTATTTCTGTGGGTAGACATTAATTGTAGAAAATAGGGTAAATAAGCCATGCTTGGCCAGGATTCTTCCCTCCAAATCGATTACTGGGGTTGAAAATTCCTAGAGTACCTTGTAAAAATGAAGCATGAGGGATAATAGGAGAGAGGCCCTATTGTAGCACTGAAGCCAGTTCCCTGCTCGGGTAGATGGATGCTGAATTCTAAATCAGGTGATGAGAAGTGTGATTTTGATTTTTTTCAAAGGCTGTACAGTGTATTAATACAGAGGAAATTCCTTTTATCCCAATCAAAACCTGAATGAAGAGAAAGAAATGCGATTCCATGGGCTGTCACCGACAATAAGGTCTCTTTTAAGCTATTAGCAGTAATGATTCTGTGCTATTTAAAAGTGTTTCATGATGAATAATATTTTATTATTACAGATGTCAGGCTCTAATTAGGCCCTGTCAGCTTTGCTTTGCTGGAAGGAATGTGAAAAGTAGTAATGACTCCAGATCGGTAGCAATCACCTTCCTTTTGTTAACAAGGCAGGATGATGCACAGCCCCTGCTCCAGCTCCTCGTGCCCAGCAGAGCTCCTGGAATCCATCAATTTGGAGATGGAGATTCGTTATGATTTAGCACAAGCCCATGAGGAGAAGCTTAGTTAAGGTTTTGTGATTAGAGCTAATTATAAATGAAAAGTTCCATTCTCCACAACCTCTACAGTGCTACAATCCAGGGAGTGTCAATGGGATGAAGAGCTTTCCAATTTGTTCAGGGATGTGGATCTGCTAAAGCCAGTCCAGAGGAGGCCATGGAGATGGCAACCCAGGGTCCCAACAAGCAAGGGGAGGCGCTTAAGCAGGTTCTGCATCAAAAGAAATACTCCTTACTCACCCAACCACAGCTTACTAAACAGATCCATAAGCTGCACCACTACCTTGCACTGACGCAAGTAATTGTGATGGTATTCAAAGCTGTATGAACTAGCAGGGACTTGCTTATATATTAGCTAAATAAGTATTTTTAACCAACAGATACAGATCCTGGGCTGGTAATAGATCTAGAATGGTAGTTTGGCCTTAAAACATCATCCCCTGAGCCACACCTACCTGGCAAGGGAGCAGTCAGTCCGTTGACCTGGTAAGAAGACAAAGAAATACAGCATTAGGAATGGAAAAAATACTTTCTACAGCTTTGCAAAGCCAGGTTTGGAAGGAGATGGAGGAGAAAAGCCATTGGAGATGGCGGAGATAAGCCATTGGAAAGGGAGGAGGCATCTCTGGGGAGCTGGACAGGGGTTCCTCCCCGCAGGAGCACTGCTGGGGAGAGCACAGAAGCCCATCCCCACGCTAAGGACTCCTGTTAATGCAGCAGCGTTTTAATAACAGCACAAGGAAAGCGACCCAGAAAACTTGTGCTATTGGGAATTGTCCAGGCAAGGCCTTCTGCTGGTGCAGATCATCATCAGTGAAACCACACTGATTTACAACAGCTTAAAAATCCCCCTTCCCTACGGCTGCCTTCCTGCTCCTGGGGAGCTGGAAGAATGAACGAGGGAAACGTCTAATTGCTGATGGCTGACAATTAGCTGCACGCATCTTGATAGCCACTCTCCTCTCCCCACGTAGAGCCAAAACAGTGCATAATTGACAGGAAAATGTTATTCCAAAGCAGCATTTCCAGCCACCTGTCCCATTCCTACCATAGAATATTCATGTATAAAAATGACATGGCTACGGCAACAGCAAGGGGCTCCTACAGAAGGGTGACAAATGAGTACGGTATGCAGGGACATAATTATTGTAGCTAGGAAGACTTGATGCTATTTTTATTACTGGAACTTGTCATCTTTAGATCCAGGTAATTTGCAAGAGGACTAATAAATGTCACCTGAGGATGGGCCAAAGAAGAAGAAGAATTAGAAGAAACCCATGCATTTTGCAGCGACTGAGGACACGCAGCTCATTTTTCACTAAAGGTTCTAATCATGCTCCGGGGACTTGTGAAGGGAATTTTATTTGTCCATTTCCCAATTAAGGGGCATTTTATGGATAAGTCTAGGCACGGTCCCCACTTTGTACCATTAACCTGCTAATGTGGGCTTGGAGCTGTAATGTACCTCCCTTTGATCTCACTGATGACAAAGTGAGCTCTCGCTGACACACACTGGGTCCCTTCACAGGGGGACTGAGGAAGCTCTGATTTGCAAAGCAGCTACGTGAAAACAGAAGCAGCCTTCAAATCTGCATAGCAATACAGGAATCACATTTAATTTCCTCTTCTTTTCCCCCACCACAGCTTGAGATGGATTCAAAGGGCAGGCAGGTTAAGAGGAAACAGGGCTTGGTATGCAGAGGTCAGCTATGATCCAGGAATGTGATTAGTCACAGGGCAGCCCGGGTGTCACTTGATGATATTTAGAAGCAAAAGCAAAATACCCTAAGGACACAGATCTTTGGCTTCAGCCACCCTTTCTACAGCTGAAGAGATGAGCAGCTTTAAACAATAAAGCTCAAAATGATGCCAACATCCCTTACCTTGTGCTTTTGGTCTGATAAACATGAAACTCTTAATGACTGCAGCAATAAGTACTGCAGGGTTTATAGTGCATTTTTAAAGGGAAAGCAAAGCACTTCAAAGGCCACATGCTGTTTAAGTTTTCATTCAGAAGATTTGCACACCGTAAACCTCGGGGAGTCCAGTTAAGTTCCAGATCAAAACATGAGCCCCACTCCAGCACATCAACCCAGGAATGAGTTGAGCCCTCTTTTGACCTGACATTTAGACTATTAAAACCTTCTCCTCTGCAAATACAAGGCAGGCAGGTTTCTATGGAAACTTGGATGCATAGTTTAAGTGTGTTTGGCCAACAGGATCTGCCCATACCATGAAGGGGAAGAAATCTGCCTTTGTTCTGACACTAACAGCAAACGCATAGTCAGTTCTGGCTGCTGCCCCTTGACTAATGCCCTCTGGACAGGCAACATTTTTGACATGCTCTGAAATGTGTTTGATTCTTCTAATAAAAGCCTGGGCTCACATGCACTGGTTTGGTCTGGACTGAAGCCACAGAGGTGAGAAGCAGCTGAACTACCATGCAAATAGAACTTCTGCCCAGGCTAACATTGCAATACTGCTCAACCAGCAGTAAACTGCAAATGTCAAGGTCTACCCTGATACAGATCATGAAGTGAGAAGCAGAACACACACGTGTACAGGGAGAGGACAAGATGAACGTGTGTGTGTGTGTGTGTGTGTGTGTGTGTGTGTGTGTGCTTCATCTTATCCATTAGTGATTCATTAAGCATTTTCTGTGCACCATTAATCCAACAGCCACGGAGCTCATTTGGCTTCTCCAGCATGCAGAGCAGAAAGATAAATTCAGAAACCACGAGTATGGCCACCTTGCATCAGACATCCAAGCCCACTGCACTTGGCTCGCTAACTGGGTAAGTGCAATAGCCTAGCTACTAGCAGATGAGCACTGCCAGGACTCACTTTCTCCCAAGGTCTTCTGAAGAAGGTCGTGTTTGGCTTGGAGCTTCGTTATCAGGTTCCTGCCCTCCAGATACTCCTTCATTTTCTGCGAAAGTGGAAAAAAAAACAAGACTGTGAGTGGAAAATTAATTTCTTTGATTGCATTTTAGGTTACTGGATTCTGAACATGATGCTGAAGAGAGAATGAAGAGCTCATAGCTGTAAAGTGGAGACCTCATAGCCGCCTTCCAACAGCTGAAGAGGGGCTTAAAAGGATGCTGGAGGGGACACTTCATCAGGACTGAAGCGATAGGATAAGGGGATGGGTTCAAGCAGGGGAGATTTATGTTCAATATAAGGAAGCTCTTCCCTGTGAGGGTGCTGAGGCGCTGGCACAGGGTGCCCAGAGAAGCTGTGGCTGCCCCATCCCTGGCAGTGCTCAAGGCTGGGTTGGACAGGGCTTGGAGCAAGCTGCTCTAGTGGAAGGGGTCCCTGCCCGTGGCAGGGGTTGGAATGGATGAGCTTTAAGGTCCCTTCCAACCCAAACCATTCTGTGATTCTACGATCCTATGAATTACACTGACATTTAGGGCGCAGAGGATGAACCAAGTCCTCCCGGGCTCTCCAGCAAACCTGGAGTTCAGTCCATCCAGATCTGCACTGCAATTCCTATTGTTTCACTGTGGAATCAGCTGAATGTTTGGCATCTTTTCAAGCCATCCGAGAAGCTGTCATGCCTCTCCCCTGCAGACAGGGCGGAATGGGAATGCGCTTCCCTCGCGCGTCACGGGCAGTGAATGAACAATCTGTTTTAACAAACTAAAAGGCTGCTACTGTGCTGCTTCTCTCACTTAACCTCCCTCACCCCACTTTACTTGTCACATAGCGCGTCTGCCTCCACGCTGGATGATACCCAGGGTTGCAGGGGGGGCACGGGACAAAACAAATACAGATATTATTGAGGTTCAGATTTGTTCTCTGGGTGCAACATTACACAGCCATGCAGTCATTTCCCCCCCCCTCCTTCTTTCTGGTTTTTCACAGCTCTGCAATTGCTTGGGGTTCTTTTTTTTTCACAGCTCTTTCATCTCTTGTTTTGCAGCTCAGAACAGCATTATTTATCTCCAGGGTGCTGCAGAGCATAAAACACTGCTGTACAGTAGCTGTCCACATTATAATTAGGACACGTTTACATACATAGAACAGAACTCTTCAAATAGCTCCTGATTCTAAAGAATGGCCTGTGCTATTTGAAACATTCAGCTAGCAAAATGAACACAAGGAAAGGATTCACATTTAATAGTGAAACGTCCCCGTTCCTGTCTTCATCTTTCCCCAAATCCATCCATTTTCTTTGGGTTCTGGTCCAGTATAGCCAAATTAGACTGAGGTGAAGAACAGTATTTTAGCAGTGAGAGTGCCCAGACCCTGCTTGTCCTATGCAGGTCTTAATAACAGCAGCCTCCATGCAAGATGTGAAGAACTGTGATGGAATATACACATACACATTGTGCTGGGGAGGAAAAGGCACCAGGGAGACCTGTTACAGCTTCATCACTTTGCTGCTCTGCTCTCTCCTTAAGGCTGGAGCAGCCACATCTCCAAGCAGCCAGAAGCAGCCCAGCTGTGTGCAGGCTGCTGACTTGTCTTCTCAGCCTTTGGACCACTCCTCTGCTTGAGCTGCCAACCCAAAACCACAGCTGGTTTGATCCTTCATATCTCCCATCACTTGTTCAGCCTGGAGAAGAGAAGGCTCCTTCAGGGGAGACCTCAAAGCAGCTCCAGTGCCTAAAGGAGCTGCAGGAAACCTGGAGAGGGGTTGGGACAAGGGCCTGTAGGGACAGGGCAAGGGGAATGGCTTTAACCTGCCAGAGAGGAGGCTGAGATGAGCTCTTAGGCAGAAGCTCTTCCCTGTGAGGGTGCTGAGGCGCTGGCACAGGGTGCCCAGAGAAGCTGTGGCTGCCCCATCCCTGGCAGTGCTCAAGGCCAGGTTGGACACAGGGCTTGGAGCAAGCTGCTCCAGTGGAAGGGGTCCTTGCCCGTGGCTGGGGCTGGAGCTGGAGGAGCTTTAAGCTCCTTTCAACCCAAACCAGGTTGGGATTCTCTGATATCCAGCAGCAGCACTGAGGGTGGGAGGAACCTTCCAGGAACTAAGGAAGTGTCCAGCACGAGCTCTGCAGCAGTCGTGTGCACTGACAAAAATGTCTGTGTTGGGCCTTTAATGAACTGCCAAAGTCTGTGTTTTATGTCCCTTTGGTTGACAACACTGGAAGAAAAATGTCACAAGAATTAAGTTCCTTTGAAGCGTCTCAGCACTTCCTACAGTTACTACTTCCTATAGTGAATAATTCAACTTTCTGTTGTTTTAGAAGAAAACAGGAAACGTGATCACTGTGGCAAAAAAACCTAACCATATTTCTTGACATTTCCCTGCAGAATCTGCTCCCCAAACCCCAACTCTGTGTTTTGCTCCATCAGTTAAACAGAGCATGCTCTGGCACTCGCCCATGCTCAGGCTGATGGCTCTGGCTCCGAGGCATCAGTAGTGGTCATGTGAAGACCATTGCCTGCCTGCAGATGGGTACCAGGGATTGTCAGAAGGGAGCAGAAGGGAAGGCTCCTAGCCCTCAGTGCAGCATTTCATGCATTCTGTTTCCTCATGCCTAACATTCTGTACCCTGCCTGTTACAAGTATGCTTATGAATAAAAACCCCTCATTTTAAAATAAGGCTTCAGGCTGTTTTCAGTGAATTAAAGAGCCATTAGCTTTTGATTTCTGGCTTAATAAAAACAGTAAAAAAAGAAGAAAATAATCAAACTCCAGGAGAACTCCTAAGGATTTAATTTCTAGCAGAGCACAGCTGGAGCCAGACTAAGCACAATCAGATGCAAAGCAGCAGAAATATCCTCAAATCATGTTATTTTGGTGGTGTAAAAATGAAGAGGGGAAGGGGTGTTGTTAAAAACTGAGCATTTGGCACCTACCAGCTCCTCACAGCCATGCAACTTTGGCATCCTCTCTGAGTCCAAACCTACTGCAGTATTTTTGCAGTGGGAACCCCTGATCAGGTGGCATATACAATGAAGTCAAACACAAACCAGACTGTTAAACAGGGAAGTTCAGGTAAGATCTTAGGCAGAAGCTCTTCCCTGTGAGGGTGCTGAGGCGCTGGCACAGGGTGCCCAGAGAAGCTGTGGCTGCCTCATCCCTGGCAGTGCTCAAGGTCAGGTTGGACACAGGGGCTTGGAGCAAGCTGCTCTAGTGGAAGGGGTCCCTGCCCATGGCCAAGGGTTAGAGCTGGAGGAGCTTTAAGGTCCCTTCCCACCCAAACCAGGCTGGGATTCTATGCACCCTCCCACACCCATCACAGCCTCATGCTGGCTCCGGTTTCGCAGCAGTGGTACCCAGGCCACATCCCCAGCTTTGTCTCCCCGAAGTCGCTGTCACCTCCTTGCTTCAGCTGTCTGCATTAGCTCAGTGCAAAGTCAATCATCATTCCTATGCCTTTCACTGACACAGGGAAGTTTAAGCTTCTATTCTGAATACAAATCTTCCTTCAAAGCCTTAACAACAGAGCAGTCTCGGCACCAGAATGCAGTGACATGCCTCTAGTGGAAATACAGATTATACTAGCGTAGAGATGCTACAGGCAGTACTCCTTCAATTCAATCCCCATGGTGGCATCACTATCTTTACCTAAGAGCTCTGCCTTGCTAGCAGTGCAGTATACACTAATACGGAATATTCTTTCAAACTAGTATTTTCCTTTCCATTCTTATCCCTCAGCATTTAGCACATCATAAGGTATGAGGAGATTTAAACCTCTGTTCTGCACTGCACTTTGCTTTTCCCCCACACAAAGAATGCCTCGCCCAGATCACTGCACAGCTCTGTCTTCAGTCTCATTAACATCATCGGAGTGTTTGCTCATACACTGAACAACCTGCTCCTTATAGATTCAAAGCTTGAAATCCTAATGAAGGGCAGTAGATCAATCAACCAAGCATCCGATTAGGCTGGTTAGAGAGGGCTTCCAAGGCCAGCTCCGTTCTGCACAGTTTCAATAACCAGCTTCACCTTCTACAAAGGCTTTTTCATTTATTTAAGTCAAAGCCTGACAGGGACTATCCTGTCAGCGAGTTTAACCTGCACAGAAATTTCAGGCTTCTAATAAGTAACACCATTCTTGGAAGAGGAATGTAAAGGGCATTAAATATAGCAAAAGATGCCCAAAGGAATGACAAAGTAACCAGGGTAAGAGGTATGATTTTCATCTGCTGGTTTGAAACATCTTTTAAATGGAAATGAATTCAACAGTTCAACATCAATCTAATTTAGGCATAAAAAACACAGAGTCTGTTATGAAATTCAATCTAAAAAGCTCTTAGCATCTTGTAAAAAGGCATCGACTCAATTAAAAGCTGATGTGAGCTGAAACTGTAAGATGATAACAACAAAAAATGAAAGAGCTCAACATTCCTTTAGTTTGTATTATTCCTGAAATTGATATTTACAAGCTATTGGGCTCTCCCTCACACAAATCCTTTTAGATGCAGGAGAAATCAAATTTTACACAATTTATCCACAGCCTAAGTTTGCATCAACAAAGGGATCCCTGTTTATTTGTCAAGAATTCAAAGCACCCGCTTTTAAACCCGAAGATACTTACCCTGCTTGTCCAAAAATCAATCACAGCAGCATTTTTGCAAGGCGATAGCATCAGTTTGCACTCTCTTGTGAGTGCAATTCTAAATACATTACACGTGCTTGTACTGCAAATTAACTCCTTACTGTGAAGTAGAACTGCTCTGTCTCCTGCTGGTTGGCCCGTCTCTTGGCAATGCTGGGTTTGCTCATGAATGTTTCCGAGACGGTGGATTTCACAGACTCCATGGAGTTGCTGTACTGAAAGCAGTCCGAGACATCAAAGTCCTCTATCGTGACTATATCCTGGATTGTCTGGAGCGTAGCTTCCATAGTCTTCTTAACCTGGCCAGCAGAAATCAGAGTACACAAAAAATGAGGATAGGGTGTTGCAAGAAAACACAGAGGTAGTAAGTACCCCAAAGTGTTTTACTAGATGCTGCAAGGGCTGGAGCAGCTGAGAGAGCTGGGCTGGTTCAGCCTGGAGAAGGAAAAACTCCTTCAGGGGAGACCTTAGAGCAGCTCCAGTACCTAAAGGGGCTACAAGAAACCTGGAGAGGGGCTTGGGACAAGGGCCTGTAGGGACAGGCCAAGGGGAATGGCTTTAACCTGCCAGAAAGGAGGCTGAGATGAGCTCTTAGGCAGAAGCTCTTCTGTGAGGGCGCTGAGGCGCTGGCACAGGGTGCCCAGAGAAGCTGTGGCTGCCCCATACCTGCCACTGTTCAAGGCTAGGCCAGACGGGGCTTGGAGCAGCTAGTGGAAGGTGTCCCTGCCCGTGGCAGAGGGCTGGGACTGGGTGAACTTTAAGGCCCCTTCCAACCCAAACCATTTTATGGTTCTACTAATAAACAGGTATTACTGGTTTTGCATCCTGTGTGCCACAAGTAAGGTTATTCCTTCCCCAGCCCCCACTCCCCACTGGAAGTGGTAAGAGGGTTGTTGATCTGTGGTTCATTAGCTCACCTCTTCATTTTCAATCTTAAGCGTCGATAATCTAGACTGCAATTGCTGGCACCTCTGCACTAACTCACTCTGGACTGGTTGCTGGGCACATAGCTGCGACTCCTGGAAGAGAAAGAGCACTGCTTTTAGAGTGCTAGGGGGAAGAAACACATAATCAGGAGCACTGCAGTTACTTCATTCAATTATTAGAAGCAAACAGCTCCCAAAGTGCTTCATTTAGAACTCCGTAGCCCTGGATTTCAACCAGTGGAAAAGGTCCGTGTTCAAAAATAGCACTTCCCTTCCTGAGTGTGCTGAAAAGGGAGCGAGAGAGAATGTGAACATCAAAGAAGCAGTAGAAAATATTAGCTACTCGCAGTCATATAAGCTTGTCATGTGTTCTGGAAGCCTGACGTGCTTTATTACAGATATTAGGTTAAATCCCATTGCACATCAGGAAGAACGTGGTTCAATGCATTAACCAGGCAGCCTGGGGCAGGCTCAGCTCAGCTCACCTACCTGTACACTGCAGCAACAGGCACAATTCATGCATAAGGCTATTTTTTAAAGGCAGAAATTGAAGTTTTATCACACAACATCACATACTCAATCTGGTATATGCAGGACCATTGCACCAAGGCCATCAGCCTGCACTGATAAACCCTCATTTGGCCTTGAGAAGAACCAAGACAAATGATCCAGTGAATGGGAGCTGTTAAGTGCATGACAGCCTGCAGGTGATGCTTTTTCCTCCCAGGATCTTAGAGGATACTTCCCAAGCACAGAACAACTGAGAGAGGTCATTTGCAGTCTGAGGGTTTCACTTAAGGGGGAAGGGACAAAGAGGAGCCTTAAGCAGTGATTATAATTCTTAGCCCAGAAGAAGAGGTTGGCTGCAAGAGACCTGACAGTGCTTCCTCCGTGTTCAGGAGGAAAATCCAGAAATCCAACCAATTGACCTAAATTACTGCATTGCACATGTGTTCCCATTTAGAACTGGTTTCAGCTTGTGTGACTTTAAACAGCTCCCAGATGAGTAACCACATCTTGATAAACCTAAAAAGAGAGATTTCCATTGCCAAAACCTAAAATCCTCTGACGGCTTTGTCTCATAGGGAAGATGCACAAAGCACCATTGTAAATTTTTCTACTCTACAATTCCACACTCAAATCCTTCCCAAAACCAGCATTTAAGTTTCTTGTTGCCCCTTCAAATCTCAAACTTCAGTTTGTCTTGGGGGGAAGGGGTAATCTTGTGGGTTGAATGAGAGGCTAAAACTGTTTCCTATCCACACGTAGTATTACACTCCATGAAGTATAATACTTAATGAAGCATTTTCAGCTTCAGTAGCTTTGATAGTCAAAAAGTAAGAGCCATATTCTGACATCTGTGCCATGAGCCTCTGCTTAATCTTTACATCAGCTAAAGCTTCTCTCACCCTCCTCAAAACAGAGCCAAGCAGGTGGCCTTGCAGTGAGTCTATCTATCAAAGACAAGGGCAGTAAACAGGCAGAAGTGGAAGTGTTTACAGAGCTAGAGCTGAAGGAGGACTAAAAACTGACCATGTCACCCATGTGCGGCTGAAACTCGAACTTCATGGGTGGACAGAAGACGTTGTTGTACATCTCCATCAGGCGCTGCTTATCACTGTTGGCATCCAGGTTCTCCACGGCGTTTTCTATGGCATCCAGACCCTCGTGCTTTGACTGTTCCAGGTTTAGCTCAGCAGACAAGAATGTCCTGAGGGCTCTGTTGAGGCTAGCGTGGTATCCCAGGTCACAGCACTGCTGGAAAAACACACACAATTCCATATGAATAAGCAAAGAAATCCTGCAATGGATATTAAAAAGCTTCTGAAGTCAGAAGTTACCGAAATGGATAGCAAGTTGTGGATGTTTTATCATCTTCTGGGTACCAGCACAGTCCCACATGACTCACTGACTGCAGAGGCACTTTGACTGGGGGCCCTAAGAGCAGGCCTTAAACAGAACTTTCAACCTATAAGCCCACATCAAATGTCAACATCATGTTATAATTAGTGCCAAGACAAGAGCAGCTTAAACTTACAACAGTTTGCAGTCATGGAGTAGTAAAGACTTCATTTCATGGTGTTAAACAAAAGCACCCTGGAAGTGGCTATGTTCAATAACACGACAGCCTATTTCTTTAAATTCTACCCTTACTTTAGGGGCACTGATTCCCACTGAACATAATCCAAAATCCTGACACAAAACTGTTCCAAGTAAGAGGAAAACAAGGCACTAAAGTACTACTGTAGTAACAAGCCACAGGGTTTGGATCATCTGTAGAAGTTGATCTGCATCTAAATGCTTCTACCCAAGAAACAGAAAGCTGCTTAATTCAGTGTACGGCAGACAGCAAGAACATGACCTGGACATCACAGGCATAAAGAGCAGAGTCATCCAAAAAGCAAGGAGCAGGCGGCTGCGCTGACTTCACTGCTGGGGTGAAAGAGAAGAGCACAACTCTCGAGCAGAAAGTGGTCGTGGTCAAGAATTTCCTGGCTGTGACACCAGGATGATGTCACTGGAAGACAATCCAGGAGCTTCATCTCCACTGTGGCTGTGCAGCCAATTCTTCACGTTTCAGAAGGGAGAAAGGAGCTTTTCATTAGGATCAGAACCAGCCCGAGTTCTTCAGACATCCAATAAAGGGAGCAAGCAAGAAGCCCACCTTCTTGGAGTTACAAGCAAGATTACATACACTAGGAGACAATCCAACAGGAAAGAAAGCGACCATCTGCTTGATTGCTGCACTGCTCTGTAAGCAAAATTCACATGAAAACTCCTCGCCCATCATTTGGGTCTCATCACTGTCATTGTGTGCAAACGCAGAAAGAAAAGGAAGGGGAGGAAAGAGGGAGGGAGAAGACCATTCCCTGCCTGCTCAGAATTGCTGTCACCACATGCTGCTCGGTGCCTGGCTCCTGTGCCAACCAGCTGTGGCAGGTGGTAAAAAGAGCTGCAGTTGCCGGTTAGGCTGGTGGCAGAGAATTAAAGGATATTATATTCAATCAGAAAGAACAAAAACCAGACCCAAAAAAGCCCCAGCAACAAAAGATGCCTGATTGAGAATGTGCACGTGTGGAGGCAGTCTTGGATCGACAGCCACTCTTCTGCATGCACATCAGAGTGATGCTCTCTGCAGTAATGTGGGGAAAGCCAGACTGAGATGGATCAACAGGCCAGCCAGGATCAGGATCAGTTCAGATTTAACAGCAGCAGTGCCTTCTTTTCCCCTCCCACCGTGGGCCAGGCCACTGCACACTCACCCAGGGCAAGCAGTTTGTCCTCCCTGTGCTCGCCCTCCTCCAGCACACATCTGCATAAGAGGCAAAGCTGATCCACTGCACAAGGGGAGGTGACTGGTGGGACTGGAAAGTCAAACGGGGCTTCATATTTTACACACTACCTTGCTGAGCAGCAGGACTACATTAAGCCAAGAAACCTTGGAGAGGGGCTTTGGACAAGTGGTGTAGGGACAGGCCAAGGGGAATGGCTTTAACCTGCCCGAGGGGAGACTGAGATGAGCTCTTAGGCAGAAGCTCTTCCCTGTGAGGGTGCTGAGGCGCTGGCACAGGGTGCCCAGAGAAGCTGTGGCTGCCCCATCCCTGGCAGTATTCAAGGCCAGGTTGGACACAAGGGCTTGGAGCAAGAGGCTCCAGTGGAAGGGGTCCCTGCCCGTGGCTGGAGCTGGAGCAGCTTTAAGGTCCCTTCCAACCCAAACCAGGCTGGGATTCTATGAACACACGAAAGCTTTTGGCTTTATGTTACTGAAACATTTGGCTTCATGCGCCAGAAAACATTTCTCAGCCCACTCCCGCACTTGAACATTTTTCAGAGGCTAACGTACCACATTCATAAACGTCTCAGTCTCCCCATCCCTTTTCTGGGTTATATAAATGTTTGATGAAATCATTCTCAAAGGAAATCAATTTTTTATAAGAATTTAATGATAACCCATTCAAATTCACTTCCCAACAGGACAGATCATTAACCCTTTGCCAGCTGGCAGCTTTCAAACACATCCCAAACAGAAGATTTAAGAAGAAAGAGCCCTCTTGGTTTGGAATGCAATTTATGCTTGGAAAGGAAACTCTGAGATCCTGGAGTAAACACCAATAGTAAACCTACTCCGGGGAGAGGACCATAAGGATTCACCCCCACTCCCCCCCACGTTTTATGTTCTTTAGATTCTGTCCTAGTGACCCTTTCATAAATAGGAGTTAATCCAAAGTTCCCCATTACTGTAATGTTTCATTAGCATCAAAGAGCTGCCTCAGTCCACAAAGTCAGGAAATTCAAAACTACTGGGCTATGTCAGGAACAATTTCTTGCTCTGAACTCACAAGGGAGAATTAACTCACTGTTACCCTGCCCTGCACACTGGAAGCACACAATGGGCTGTGCAAACATGGCAAGTTTAATGCTGTTTGCCCAAACACAATCTACTTGCAAGCAACTCGGAAGATTGCTTTTAGATTCTATTTCAAGATGCAGTATCACCAAAGGATTAAATCAAGCAAGAGAATTAAAAGCTGGCTTTAAAATCACATTTTTAAGTCAGATGCTTCTGATAACCATCACTGGTTCTAACTGTTAATTTTTGATCCACCAGGATCAAAGGAATCAAACATTGTTCTGCAGACTCTTTACTGTATGTAACCAAATGGCACAATTCAGATGTCTGAAAGGTGTGAAGAGGCAGCAGGTACAAACCAAGCAGGCCTCTTCAGCACAGCCATTGTGCAGATCACGACCCTTTACAATAACAGTGGTTCCCAAACCATCCAGTACTGAGAAGCCTGACCTCCAAAGGACAGGCTTAAATAAACACCCAGCAGAGAAGTGCACTTCATGGCATTTTATGATCAGCTGAATAAATGCATTATATATACTGTTAGCTATGATAATAGCTGACTAATTAATAATGATCAGAGTGCTCTTTATTGCCTGTGTCTAGAGACACTTCTATCATTACCTCCCCCTCCTACAAGGCAAGCTCCCTCCAGGCTTTGCAGCCGAGTAGCTCTAGCAGTCCTTGGCAAGCAGAGTAAGAGCAAGCAGCAGGCAGTGACCCAGACACAAGGTGTTCAGTGCATCTGGTACTCCAGTTCTGCCCAGTGAAGAGGGGAGTTATGTAGCTGTGAGATGTCTCAGGATTCCTCGCTGGTTTTACTCAGCGAAAGGAGGGTTTTGTGTTGTGTGTTTCACTAAAAGCAGGTATGATATCCCCTGAACACAAGAGCTTGCAGGTAGCTGGGGAACAACTTCCTGCTCCATTACTCAGTTTCTGCAGAGAGCATCCTTAAGGAAATAGGGGACTGGCTTCCATAGCCAGTTAATTTCTTCATTTCTCTGTGTGAACAGAGGCAAGCAGAACCTCCATCACTGGTGGACTGAGGTATCACAGAACAGGAGGTCTAAAAAGCAGGGAGGTTCATCCCTCTTGTGAAATATGCTAGAGAAAGCACTAGCCTTGAAATAGATGGAATTTTGCAAAACAAGTTAAAAGTAGCTTTAGAAGATGCTTCTGTCCTCAGTTTCTGTTACCAACTGCTTTACCAGTTCTACAGTTAACATTCTGTTTGAAAATGTGCCTCTGCGTTACAATTCTGCTTGTCTGCTTAAAATAGTAAATAAAAAATGCCAAGCAACTGTGATACTGAAGCTGAGTTTCATGTTAACTAAGCAAGTCCTCCTTCTGCACTTTTCAGTGTCAGGTTTCTTGCGTGAGTTTCTATCTGTGCAACAAAACTGAGTTACTCAATGACAAAAAGCTCACTTAACAGCTTAGTGACCTGCTGTTCTGCCTGTTGTTACCCTCTAAGCTGCCCATCCACGATCCTCATTTCAGTGCTGTACAGAGGTTACCAGCTGTACTAGTGTAGAAGATGTTGAAGAACGAAGGAAAGACACATGAGGGTTAGTGGCAATGATACTCATTGCAGGCACCCAAGCAGCAGCACTTACATCAATGAGATCAGATAGGTCATGAATGTAATACTTGAATACAGATGCATTGGTGGCTTCCAGAGCCAGCAGGTACTCGTTCCTTGCCTTAATAGCCTTCAGTCTGTTTTCTGTGTACTTTGCTTGGCGCTAGAAGAGAACCACAAACAGAACAGGGGTTATAAAGAGGTGCAGCAGGAGTAGCAGCATTCTTAGGAGCACCAGAGAACACTGCACAATCTTACTGTGCTCACACGTTTCTCTTCATTTGGATTCCATTTCATCAAGACTCAAAGACTTAGATTAATTATGTGGATGGTTTTAAGCAGTACTACACTAAACAGTTCTGCACTTCAAGTCTTCTCTTAAAAGGGGCTGCAGGCTGGGGAGGACAGAGGTTAGAATGAAGGAACAAGGTGGGTTTATGAACCAGCTCCAGCACTACCACGGTGGCTGATAGAAGTCATAGGTAGTCTGAGGGCTGGTGCAGGCACCCCACCTCCTCCAACAGAAGCTAGGCCTAAACTTGGTCTTTTCAGAGCCTACATCCTCCCCAGGCACTCTACACAAGCACCAGGGCAGTACCTTCTCCTTCATTTTCTCTATTTTCTTGACAGAGCTCCGTCGAACATGCTTCTCCTCAAACTTGACGTTGGAGGTTGAGTCAGGGGAGCGCGGTGTCTGCTTGTCCTCTTGCTTCACCGACTTCCCAATCTGCTTTTCCTCCTGCTTCTCCGCCTCTTTCAGTTTGCTCTGAGCACTGATGCTGTCAGCGTTGTACATATGGTAGGTCTTCATAACCTGCAGAAAATGACAGCCAAGAGTCAGAGCTCCACAGTTCCATTTGCTGAGGAAGAAATGGGTTTACCTAACCACCAAACTACACACCCATGCATTCTGCCTTACTTTAGCTGCGTGACCAAGCCTTAGGGAGAATAGGAATGATATATCTGGAAAGCTCACAGGTGAGGAAGGACAAAATCCTAAGGAAGAGGTCACATGCTTCAGCATATTGGCCAATGCACCCCCAAAACTGTACATTTCTTTAACATACCTATTTCATAACAGCTGCCCATCACGTTTATATTACATACAAATGCCCATCATGTTATATATCATACTAAGCAAACACATTCAAACAGTGCCCAACAAGCCAGATCTGGTTGGTAACTGGGAGTTAGAAATATCTCAACTGGCAAAATGGGAGTTTTCCCGTCTCAACAAAGCAGGACAGAAGACGCCTGAGTGGAAGTGCGGCTCTCAGAATGAATCTGAAATCAAAGTGGATGATGCTGCAGCTGCTTCTTTGTTTCACTTTGGCATGCGCCTTCTTGTATGATCCAATAAAGGAGGCATAGAAACCAAAACCAGATACAGATTAAACCCAGCTTCCTCACTATTCAAGGGAAATTATATACCAATGTTGGGAAATGACAGCTTTCATCAGCAGGTAAGGCTGCAGAAGGAATGCCTGTCAGTCTTCCACCTGGATGAATCAGGCCTTTAAACATCCCAGATCCCAGGGAACTGTCCTGCAGATCAATAATCTGAACATACTGGTTGCCAAAGCAGCTCAGGTTCCATTTGTTTAAATCCAATTGGAGATGTAGAAGTACTTCTGTTCACCTTATCTAATGGAAATAGTATTAAAAGAGTGTGGTTCTGTTGCTCAGGGAGAAGCGTACAGGATCCTGGATAGACAACTCTTACTATAGCACATATTTTTAAGTACAGTCACAGGAATATTCCCCCTTCATGTCACAGGATATTCATGTCTAGCTTTGTGTTAATGAAACAGAACAAAAACACCAAAGGACACAACATGTCAAGTAGCTTTCATCCCTCAATGCAAAGCAATTCAATTAACATACCTAAACAAACATCATGATGACAGCATTTCTATAGGGGCCCCCCAGAATGCACAGTTCCATAGAGACACCCCAACAGTGCCATTCCAGCGTTCATAAAGCCCCCTCTTGCAAATCAATTACTTCAGATGAACCCCCATTTACACCTATTTCACCTCAGGTTGAACCATAACATGATTTCACATAAGGAAGACACATGCTCTCCCTTCACGCAGTGATCAGCAAAGGTTTTCAGATACAAAGAGACGTTGTATTTAAACATGAAAGCGAATGGGAGCGCAGCCAGTGTTCGAGAGAGGCTCGCTGAATAATTTACACACACACACTTTGGGCTCCCGCATATGCTTAGACTATAAAGCAGGCAGTTATAATAATAGAGGCAAAGCAGTTTCTTTTCCTCTATCACTGAGAGTGGAACTGGCAGAAAACAAGAGAAGCAGAGAGAGAAATCCCAGTTTTAATGATTTTATCCTGCTGATGGTGCTGCATGGCACCCACAAGCTGCCTGCTGAGGGCAACAACGCAGTCATGGGCTGACACAGGATGCTTCCTACCAAAAACTTACAGGTCATTATAATCCTCTAGGCTTTATCTATGGAAGAAAACTAATCCCTAGCCATTTTGCCTGAAAACAGGGATTGTGCTACTCCTTTGGATGGGCTCGGAGCAAGCTGCTCAAGTGGAAGGTGTCCCTGCCTGTGGCAGGGGCTGGAGCTGGATGAGCTTTAAGGCCCCTTCCAATCCAAACCAGGCTGGGATCCTTTGAAAGAGCAAAGGAAATGTATCTCAGTGTAATGACCCAACGTATCGTTAAGGAAGGACAAACAAAAGGACATTTTGAGCAACAAAACCGTGTGTGGGTTCTGCTTTTCAAAGAGAACCAGCTCAGTAACAGCTGCAGAAAGCAAGAATTTAATCAAGCAACAGGCTTTTCCATTCATCCATGTGAGCAGAGACGGCCGGGAGCAGCATATGAACTTTTATGCACACATTCCTTCTCCTTCCTGAGGCAGTGCCTCGTTCTCAAGGTTTCCAACGGATAGACCGGGAAGCAAAGAGCGCAGATGGAGGAGAACGACTCTGAAGGGAGCTGTTTTGCTGAAAGAGCTGAGGAACAAACAAACACAGTGGGTCCCCCTGCTGAAGCCGTGTGCTGCCTTCTGTACAGAGACCACACAGCACCATGGGCTGAAGACTTGCAGTGTATTTGGAAGTAATTCTAATTATGGAATGGTTTGGGTTGAAGGGAGCTTAAACCTTCCACTGGAGCAGCTTGCTCCAAGCCCTGTGTCCAACCTGGCCTTGAGCACTGCCAGGGATGGGGCAGCCGCAGCTTCTCTGGGCACCCTGTGCCAGCGCCTCAGCACCCTCACAGGGAAGAGCTTCTGCCTGAGAGCTCATCTCAGTCTCCCCTCAGGCAGGTTAAAGCCATTCCCCTTGGCCTGTCCATACAGGCCCTTGTCAAAAATCCCTCTCCATGTTTCTTGTAGACCCTTCAAGTATTGCAAGACAGTTACAAGGTCTATAATATGTCTTACTCTTTTTAAACCCAACACTGCAGCTAGTAGCAGATGTGCATTAAGGTGAGATCTTTGAGAAGTGGCGCCAACACTTACAGAGCTGAAACAACAGAGGGATAGAGTGAAAAAGTGAGATTTATGGTGCTCTATAGACTGGTGAGCACCAGCCGCCCTGAGCTGCACAGCCTGCAGACATTTATCAGCCTTGGTGCTTAGTCCTTGCTTTAACGGCAGGCTGGGAGAAGTCAAACACTTCTTCCTTCTGCCTGAAAAGATGCCAAGAGAATCAGTCTGATTTACCGTGTAGAGTTCATTCAAGACTTTCATCAAGTCCTCCTGGAGCTGCAATCCCACTTCCTTGCTCTGCAACAAAACACAGAAATGAAAGTTAATTGGGGAAGACAGTGAAAAGGCAGAGGAAGTGAGCATGCTCCCCAGCTAGAAATACTGTAGGCTCGATTAAGCACTGCTATTTATGCCAGCAAATCCAATAACTGCTCAGCCCAGAGCCACTGCTGGTCAAACTGTACAAACAGGATTAACACAGTGAAATGTTACATATGCACAGGCAGAGAAGCCTGACAGTCTGGAGACAGGGAAATTTCCAGAGAACGTGGGATTTTCAACAGTGTAAGCCTGGAAACACACGGATTTAGCAGGATCGAGCAGAACGATGAATGTGGGACAGGTCGGTATGGAAGCTAAAGAAAGGCAGGATAAGGAAGCCAACAGGAATGCTCCTCCATCGTGCCATGAACCAGGCAATACTTCAAGTGCATGAGAGCCATCTATCACATCCTTCACGCTCCCATCTCTGTAGGCAGCCCTGCTGCTCCTCCCTTTGACCCTGACCTCACTGCCAGCCCTGTGCCACCGCCTGCCCACCCCTCTTCACCCTTACTCCTTGTCCCTCAACCACACGCATACACACGAGTTGCCGGTGCCACCTCATCGTACTGATCCCTGAGGATATGAGGGTGCTCAGATGGGGCCTGGCAAAGCCTTATGGAGACAGACCCATGTGGGAAGCCTTGCTGCAAGGTCTGCAGCTCTCACTTGTGTGCACATACTACATTGATTTCCTGGATTCACCAGAGCAGTCGCTCTTGAATACCTTCAGATACTGGAGTAGAAATGGCTCGCTGAAGATGCAGTGTTCCATGGAGTCCTAGAATGCTTTGGGTTGGAAGGGACTTGAAAGCTCCTCCAGTTCCAACCCACTGCCAGAAACAAGATTCACAGTTTTCCACCTCTGAAAGAAGCAAGCTGAAGCTGCTGCTCATCACTGCACTGACATGGGTGGCAAAGATTTTTATGACTGCCTTTTCCCTCAACACTGGAGATGATTAATGGAAGTGACTGGCTCTGCCTGAAATGCCCTCAGCACTGAACTCGCACAGAAGGAGCTTTTCAGCTGTGCTGGTTCAAGACTGGACCAATCGCCTGCCCTTCACCCAGCTCTTTTCAGCTCATTTGCTTATTTCCTGCATAAAATTGCTCATTCACTGTAAAACTGCTGAAGCATCAATTATGCGAAAGATGAAAATGAATATTTTAATGCATGTTCAGGTTGAAGAAGAAAAGCAGCAGCTTAAGAGCTGAACTGTCAAAACACCCAAGTCTTTGTGCTTCCAAATGAGCTCTCAAGAAAGGAACTGCCAGATTGCTGGACTGGAAAAGAACTCCCATTAAGATGAAGGTAAGATAGATCACAGGTGCCATGAAAACAGGAGCTGTGCAATGATCACTGCTCGTTTACTGCTGCTCCCTCTACTGATTCCACCACCAAGAACAGGTTTAGGGAGAAAATTAGCTTGGTGGCCCTGATAAATGAAAAGGCACTGGAGGAAGCAGAAGGGTTCGCTTGGGAAAGGCAAAGGAAAACGCCTTAGACATTAGCACGGTTGCTGTTGCTCAAGTGCTGTAGAGGGCGGTGGACCTGACACACAGAGAACTTGCCTGAGGTCCCATAGAGCTCCAAGCGCATCCAGGTTAAAACCAGCATCACACAGGCAGGAGAGATTTCAGGCTCACGCCAGAAAGTGGCATGGAATTACAACTGAAATGCATGCCAAGGATAATCAACCGCATCATCTCTGCGCTTGCAAACGTCTCCAGGTACCAGCTGCTATTTCAACATCAATCTCTTTATTATGTTGTTCAAAAGCAGACGGGGTTTAGAATGATGCATTTTGTAAACAGCCTTCCAGGAAAAAGCAATAAATAAAAGCAAAAAAAGAAACCTGGTAAATTTTATCCTTCTCTATTCCTGGCTGTACCTGCAACTGGAGCTTGTCTGTACATCCCCTAAAACCCCGAGGAAGGGCTTGTGCAACCAAATCTTATCTCCTTGACTCCAATAATGAACTGTGGGGAGGGATCGTCCCCACAAACTGTGTCATCTCCTCACCCCATCATGGCTAAACACTTGTCCTCCTGATCTGGGAGATTATCTACTTTGATGCGCATCATTAGGGCACTCAGATTATGGCACAGCATGGGAGCCCCCCCACGCCTGAGGCTGGGGAAGGGGAAAGCAGGACAACCTGCAGCCTCAGTGTTGTGCTCACAAGCTGCCTCTTCTCCAGCCCGAAACAGTAAAGTGAAAGAAGCCGCCCTAAGCACACACATGCATCAACATACACGCTCACACATGCACACATACTCCTTTGTTACAACAGGGGGTACATGCACCATGTGCAGAGCTGGAAGTTGCTGCCACCCCTGGCTGGAGCACAGATTCCCAGCGCTCGGTGCCAGCTCCTCAACGGCCTCTTTGTTCCAGCCTCCTCCCCTCCACCTCCCGGCTAATTCAATCAAGATGGTTTTGGGATCCACTGCAGCACTCGCTTGGCTGTTCCACATTCCAGCACACATTAACGACTTCAGCTTCAAAATATTTAGGGGGGATAATAAATAGGAGAGCTGAGGAATGTTGTCAGCGTTTCATGCGCCGGATCTCCAGCCTCACTAACGTGGATCCAAATCTGGTTCAGCTTCACCAAACACGCCGTGAAGTTCAGGAGATGCTTTCTGTGTAAGCTCCACAACAGCAGGGAAGCACTCAGAAACCATCAGAGAGGGAATGAAATGCACGGAGATAAGAGATTTTATCTGATACATTGCCTAAAATTATGTCAGCCCGCACCAGGGCTGGAACTGGAACCCAAATCTGCTGAGCCTGGAAACTGCTCTCTAACACAACCATTTCTCTCCATCATTTAAAAAGGAATAATTCGGGTATTTATTCATAGAATCCCAGCCTGGGTTAGGTGGAAGGGAGCTTGAAGCTCATCCAGGGATGGGGCAGCCACAGCTTCTCTGGGCACCCTATGCCAGCACCTCAGCACCCTCATAGGGAAGAGCTTCTGCCTAAGAGCTCATCTCAGTCTACCTAATAGCTAATCTAAAACTAAATATTATGCATTAGTTAACATCTACTTAAGAAGCTTGTTAAAGAGAAGCCTTGCAAGAACTTTATGGATAAGGTGCTTGGCCATCATCACACGGCCCTGCAGAACAGGAATTCTGGGAAGACCTCTTCTAAAGCTTCAGACTCTCCAGGATTTAAAGCAAAGCTAGGAAAACAAATCCTGTGTCATGTCGTACAATATCCTTGCACGGTTTGGGTGACAGCTCATCAGTTCCCAGTGTAATGGTGCATTATGGTTCAGTCACCCATATTTAACTTACAGTTGTATTATCTAGTTTTCTCCACTAGTGATTTCTTTCACCACTATGTCAGTAATAAGGGATTTTCCTTATGACAGCAAACACTCTACTCTGAAAGACCATTCCTACATGAAACCATGTCACACCACTGCCTCCCATACTCCAGGCTTAAAGAGTCTCTTCCAAACAACCCCTATCTCCTATATCTCTTATTTTGTGCTGAGTCTACTGAAACTTGGCCTTCAGGGACTCCATCCCAACAAACCAAGCAATTTATGGCTTAGGTTGGGAGGGATCTTTAAGTCCTTCTCCTCAGTGCTGCTCCAGGGCCAAAGGCAGTGTATTCCATGCCCAATCTACACGCAGAAGTGACATTTTTAGCCTGTAACATGCAGTAGAATTACTCCAGCTGTAGCCTCTGGCATTCAGTACATCGCCCTGGTCACCAGGCTCTGATCCCACCACTGCATCTGACCAGGTACGAAGTGCTACCAGGGTAACAGAAACCATCACTCCAATCACAGCACCACACTGGTGAATTCACTCCCTCTCCCTTCCTCCACTCCACTTGTTCTAAAAATAAGCAGGTAGGAAAACTGGGAGGCTTCATTTCCCCAGTGAGAAATCAGAAAGCAGCACTTCCCAACAGGCTTCTGTAGCCTTTCCTTTGGGGAAAAGAGGAAGAACTCAACAGTGCTATTCCCTGAGGCACCTAAGGCAGAGGAGTGCAGTGGGTAAGGATGCACACGTGAGAGCAGAGCTACAGCACATACTTACCATGTCTGCACCTCACTTTTACTGATGGTATTTGTCAGTTTACATGCTTACACTGGTATGGAGAAGTGCCCAGAATTTTGGCCAGGGCACTTCCTTCCTGTGCATGGGTTTTCCCTGTGTGGTGTATTTTAAGACCTTTCATACACTGGTACCAAGGCAGCCATGAGACACACTGCAGCTGTAAAGTAGGTCAGCTTAAGCACAGACCCCTTTAGAGAATTAATAATTCTTCTTCCTTGATTACCACAAGGCTTTTAAGCAACTCGTTGTGGATTTTCCACTTCACATCAAGTACAGTGTACTAACAGATAAACTGGTTTTTCCCTGTGATCAAAGGTATTAAACAGGAAGCGAAGTTTAAACCCTCAGCTTTGTTTTCTTCATGTTTTACATGGTTTTCTCCCCATACATATCACGACTGCACTTGATACAACCATGTAAAGGAATGCTGTGCTCTCAAAGCAAGATCCACCCTCTCAAAGCAAGCAACCACCCCTCCCTGTCCCCTGTCTATACCAGGAGTACACGTCCACCTCAATGAGACTTAAAGCAGGATGGAGTTACCGCTCTGAGCATCTCCAGTGTGGCTCTAGGTTAAGAGACAGGAACTTGTGCATCTGCAGAATAAATCTGCCTTTCACTGGGCCCAACCATCACCCCAGGACCGCCAAGCCCATCACTAAACCATGTCACTGAGGGCAAGCTGACCTCCCCCCGTGGCCACCCCTCAAAGCCCATCGCTGCCCCTGCTCTCCCCTCATGATCCCCCATCACCCCTCATGCAAAGAAATCAAGGGCCACATTAAAAGGATGGGGTGATGGGGGGACAGAGTGAAAAAGGAGGAAAGGGAACATCAAACCCAGAATCAACCTAAATGGAAGACTATTTTGAACTCAGGGCCACGCTGAAGAGGATAAACAGGAAGCAATCAGAGGATTGCTCTCCACAGCAGTAGGAAAGGCACCGACATCAAAGCCGGACAGTCATACAGGAAAGGGAGAGGTGACCAGAATAGCAACACCGGGTGGCACACAGGCTTGAAACCAGCCCTGCACGAAACCCAGGGCTAACTCCTGCGCAAATAAGGAAATACGACCTCCTTCCTCAGGTGTACCAGTCTGGTATTAGAACAATTCCGCTCAGTTTTATTTGCTCGAGAGGTTATTTATGTCACCATTTATCTTCCCTTTGTTTTGCAGTAGCGCACAACTGAGGTGACACCATTCCTGAGGCCGATGCCAGATCCCCACTGATGCCAACAGGATCTATCTGCTATAGTTTCCAGCCCTGACTGACAACATCATCTACTGAGATGTGAAAGTGATCTCTTAGGAGAACCCAAGACAAAGGCTGTGGAAAGAGAAGGGTGCTCAAATACCTCCACCTTCGGCTGCAAGCCTCAGTAAGTTCTAACCCCACATCTGGTGCAAACAGCCCAGTGCTCTGATACTGAAAGGTTTTACAGGGAGAGCTACGTGAGGAAGTAAACAGATCCCAGAGGCAGGAAGAACCAGGGCTGACACACGCTGTACGTCCAGCACCACTTCAGGGCTAGCTTTGGCAGCAAACACAGCTTCTCTTATCAGCAGAGCTACCTTTGAAGTGGCTGGCAAGCTTCCCTCTAGCACTCAGGCAATTGAGACCCTCCACATCGTAACACAGCCCTGGAGAGGGATCTTTTCATCATGAGACAGGGACAGAAGAACTGCACAAGCAGAGCCATGGACCAAGGAGGCTTCCCATGGCACTGTGAAGGTAAACCCTTGGAAAAGCCATGTGCAACGCTGCTGGAATCCAGGAGGTCACCGATTTCAGGACAGACCCGTCCAAGCTCAACCATCAGCACTGCTGTGCCCTTTGTAGAACTGGGCCAGGGGTCCAAGAGTGAACACAAGAATCGGTCTCAGCCTGTCCACCGGAGCCACTGGAAGAGACAAACCCACATTTGCCCCCACCAGTTCCAGTGCTCCTCTGCACAGCGAGACCTGGTTTGGGCTCATGCTGCTCCAGCCACACCACAGTAGCTCCCACCCGCTTCCCTTCACATCAGTGCCACCCTCAGGGATGTGCTTCCTTCCCAGCTCAGACCTTATCACGCTCACCCAGGCCCCTCACAGCCCTCAGGCTGGATTACGGCTGCACGCTGTACTCAGATCGCTCTCGTTTGAAGCAGCTCACCACTTCACACAGTGCCAGATACAGAGTTTAGCAACAAAAGGGATCTTAAGTACATCTTTTTTTTAGCCTGGTTGTTCCTCTTGGCTCACCTGCTCCATCCCAGCAGGACACAAAGCCCTGAATTATAAATGGCCCAAGAAAAGGATCTCATGCCTCAGGATTTGATTTCAACTGCTCTCAGTAAATGGGGAGCTCTGTATCCTCTCCATTTCACAGCATTATTTACAAGCCAGTGAGCAGCTCCTAAATGGAAGTCACTAGAGCACCTGCAAGCAGCCAGACACATAGAGCTTTTCTTAGAAGGTCTTTTCCAAGCAGAACTGTAAAGATGTGATGTTCCTCAGGCCTTCAAATAGCAAAGCGCCCTTGTTTTTAACACAGGTCCCCTGGGTAGGATGAGCCAAGGCCAGAGAGCTCCCAAACCAGCAGCAAGATTGGCAGCCCAATTCCAACAGCTACAGTTGCCACTGGCAAACAGGAAAAGCCACGCTTGTCAGAGACAAATAGCTGGGATTTCGAGACAAATGCCTTCTGTTTGTGTTAGAGCTGCGAGAAAGCAACCAGAGGGGTATTGGGTTTTGGTGGTCAGTGGTTTGGTTTTATTCCTCTACCCCAATCAACCCAAGCAGGACAAACCCATTGCCATGGTTTATATAAGGCTTTTATAGAAGGGGCTGAAAATTAAGCTGCTCTTTTCCAGCCAAATTGGGATCCTATCCATTTCCTTGTAGTGCTTTGCCATGGCATTTTCTCAGCCACCTTCCTCAAGCACAGCCTTTGTTGAAATTCAGTGGGGAGATTACTCCTCCTTTGGAAGGATTAGGGGAATTGAAGAGTAGCTGCCATTCAGTAATCCCATGTAAGTATCTAATCAACCATAATGTAATTACCAGAAAGTTTTAAAAGGTCAAAAAGGCCTTAGCATGATGCTACTTGAGAGGGAGAAGGTTCCTCCTCTGCCTGGGGAGTGACTCAAAAGAAGAAATAAAAGCAAACCAGATTGTCACACATTCTGTTCCTATCCCTTAAAAACTCCAGAAATACACAGAGGACAAACAACACAACTGTCCACTTGTTCGCATTCCCCTATGGAAATCAGCTGCCAACACACACAAATACCTGCTGTAAAAGAGCAAACACATCCTGCTCTCCAGGTAACGCACAGCACACTGCTCCCTCAAGTGCATCTTGACATGAAACATCACACACCATAGCGAGCACCGTTTGCTAGCAGTCTAAACAGACTGCTTTACACATACTGGCCTCATCAGTTAGAGCAATAGAGAGACACTAAGGAAGACCGGAATGCTCTTTCCTCGAGACATTTAGAAGACTGTCAAGACCAGAGTGAAAAGCCAACGTTACTGCTGACTGCACCTAAACAGATCGTAATCCACTGACACCGTTTTAACTTAACTGACACCAGTGGAGGCAAGAAGACACACGTGAAAGTACACCAAGATCTTCTGATGAACACTGTTCCTCCCCCACTTCTCTCACAGTCTTTATGTGATTTAGGAAAAGTCTCCACTAAAGTACTCCCAGAAAGCTCAAGTCCTCCTGCAATCTCTTCTCTAGGCCTTGCAATAGTAGAAAGAACTCTCCGTGTCATGACACATTGCAAGGGGTGAGCAAAGAGAAATGGCTTTCAAAGTCAGACCTGCAATGTTTTTAATGTGTCACCTTGAAGATGTTAGAGCCATTGACTGGAGAGACCAGGCATTACCATTCAAGAGGAGCTCCAGAGCTGCCCTATCATGTTTCTTCTACTGGAACAACAGAGTCTTAATAGACGAATCCTCTCCCACGCTGTCCCATAGTATTTTCCAGGTAGGAATCAAGGGGAGGCTCACCAAAGAGACATCAGCTGCATGTTCTCCTTTTCCAGAGAGGACAATACATCCATTTCTTATGTAGCATGGTAAGAATTCTCCCCGGTTTTTCTTTTAGCAGTAGTTTCTCCTCCATGGGAAATACAAGTTTAGTTTGAGAGAGCTGGTCCTGACTATATTCAGAGTTGAAGACCTGGAGGGTTTCTGCATATTTAATAGAAGTTTCAAACCACATACAACCTCTGATGAGGAGATTAAGAGGAAAAATCAGCCTGAATCGAGACCAAAAAATCAAAACTGACCACTTGTGGGACCATCCTAAACCACTGCAAGACGAAAATGACTGAAGAAATTGAAGTCCAGCACAGTCACCCATGAAGAGGAAGAAAGCCCATGTGTCAGCACAGCCACCAGTGACTCGATCCACCAGTTAACAGCTAAAATGGTATCTCAGAAGGGACAAAGGAAGTGGTGCAGCATTGAGTTACCTTCTTGAAGAGGCGCCCCGAGTCCTCGCTGACCTGCACGAAGCGTGGGATGATGTTGTTGAGATAGATGTCACTGAGCGTGGTGTGGTCCCTGCTCTCCCGCTTCACCTGGTTGAGCAGGAGATTCCAGCAGTTCACTGGGGACAGCACATTCTGATCCTTCCTAGAAAGGACACAAAACAGAAACAAGAATTGGGTAGGACTGAAGTGCACAAACCCATTCTGCTCAAGATGGTCTGTACCTAGAAATGCTAGAAATTCAGCTACAGGATGCATGGACTGCTGAGGAGAGCAGAGGATGGCTATAAAATGGCTATTGCACACCCAGAAAACACACCCTAAATCACACAACTGCATTCACACGGCCACAGGCTTTTGTCCCCCAACAAACAAAGGCAAATGTAAGCTCCAGGATGCCAAATGTAGGCTTTGATTTCTGCTTTTAAATCCAAGATTCTGTGCATAAATTACAGAGCCTGAGGGACAGCGATAGCTCCAGTGTCTGACACCAGGTTTCCCTGCGCTATCTCAGGCAGTTGGGACTTCACTACAATAATAAGATTTCAGATGCTAAATAGCATCTGCATAGGAAACAGAATGTTGTGGTTTATGTACATGTGAGCATATATATCTGTCCTGAGCAAAAGAAAAGGCAACACTCATAAAACCAGCTTGATTTTCTCATCTTTGAACTTCCTCCACCTTAGCACAGCTGATTCATTCTGCACCCTGCAAATAAGCAATGCAAAGGGCAAAAAAACAAAAGGGAGATGAGAGGAACCTCAGTTTATTTAGATCAACGTTTCATCTACTAAAGGGAGTAAGTCACTTAAAGCACCATTTCTTAAGGCACTAGATGAAAGCGAGGAGGCTCGCGGGGATGCTGCATGGCCCTGGTTGGAGCTGGCACGTCGAGGTGTAGTCTGAACTCAGTGTTTACTTCTCCTTAGATCTGTTTATCATTTGTTTACAGTACAGTAATAGTTATTTAGAAAAGTAAGGCAGACCTGGAGGAAAGCCAACGCTGCTCTTGATTACTGCAAGCAACTGCAGCCCATTTCTTCCCTCTTAAAAGAAACGTGGTTTCATTTCCATTGAAAGAGAGGAATATTCTGCACTGAAAAGGACAGAATCTGCTGCAAGAGATGTCTGACACTGGGCAAATTAACCTGTGGCAGAGTTTCATTACCCTTGCCATGACATCAGTGATTGGATTTGCAGTGCAATACAGGTAATTTTAGATAAGAATAGTTTCAGACCAGCTGATCACGATGCTTTGTTTCTCAAAAGAATACGAAAAGCTCAAGGAAATAACTGCAGCTTGTGATGTCCAAATCTCCTTCCAGGGTTGGAGTGTGTGTGTATGTAGTGGGGGGAGGAGGGGGTGTGTGCAAAAAGGATTCCGGGCTTTTGGGTCTCCTGGTGTTTTGAGTGAAAGGATAATAGAAAATAAAGAATGGGATGCAGAGATTTTATTTGGAGACAATATTTGTCTCCCTACTGTACGTCCTGTATTGCAGATACTGCTGACGCGCAAAACCAGATGGAATGATCAAAATGCAGAACTGCACAAGGTTGAAACTGCCAGATGTTCAGCTCTATAAATCAACCAGTCACCACCCCCCCCCCCCCATCTGCAGTAAGCATTTGCAGCACACCGTGTGTTTTGTTACTATGCCAGGGAGCCAAACACTAACTGCGAGACCCAGTGTAAATCTATGGGCGCTGAGCAGGCTGCAGCAGCCTCCAAGGGCACACACTATCTGATGGAGATATAAAGCTGCCACCACGAAAGAAGGCAATATACACAGGAAGGGTTTTTCTAATTTAGAGAGACAAGAATCCAGCTTTCCTCCACTGAAGAGAGGGCAGGAGGAGGAAAGGCATCTCCAGAAAGAGCTTCTCCAAGGAGCAGCGCTGGGTCAGAGGGGTACACACCATCTGCACAACCACCACCTCCACCAACAAACTCAGGTGGAAGACAGGAAGCAAACAAAGGAAGAATTGTGGGCGATTATAAAGAGAAGTTGACGAAGGACAGTATTCAAAGTTAAAAGCAGGCTGGTCTGCTCCTTTACATCAATGATACAAAAGGACTTTACACACTGACTTTGTATTTGCTCTCTAAAGCTGGAAGAGCTGCAGCAAGTGAGAATTAATCAACTACCAGGAAAAGGGGGGGAATTAAACTTAGGAACAAAAAGCTCAGACTCCACCAGCTGAGTGTGTTGTAGCTGTTCAAAACCCTGCCTCAAAACCCTCAACAGCCTGTTACAGCTTCATCACTCTGCTGCTCCACTCTTTCCTTAAGGCTGGTGCAGCCACAGATCTCCAAGCAGCCAGAAGCAGCCCAGCTGTGTGCAGGCTGCTGACTTGTCTTCTCAGCCTTTGGACCACTCTTCTGCTTGAGCTGCCAACCCAAAACCACAGCTGGTTTGATCCTTCATATCTCCCATCACTTGTTCAGCCTGGAGAAGAGAAGGCTCCTTCAGGGGAGACCTCAAAGCAGCTCCAGTGCCTAAAGGGGCTGCAGGAAACCTGGAGAGGGGTTGGGACAAGGGTCTGTAGGGACAGGCCAAGGGGAATGGCTTTAACCTGCCAGAGAGGAGGCTGAGATGAGCTCTTAGGCAGAAGCTCTTCCCTGTGAGGGTGCTGAGGCGCTGGCACAGGGTGCCCAGAGAAGCTGTGGCTGCCCCATCCCTGGCAGTGCTCAAGGCCAGGTTGGACACAGGGGCTTGGAGCAAGCTGCTCCAGTGGAAGGGGTCCCTGCCTGTGGCAGGGGTTGGAGCTGGAGGAACTTTAAGGTCCCTTCAACCCAACCCACTCTGGTATTCTGTGATCCTCCGTCTCATTATGAATCTTTGCTCTCTATTCCACAAAGAGCACTTGGCTCCTCACAGATGTTCCTACCGAGGTATCTGCCCAACCCCATCATGAGCAGCTTGGATGAGTTGTGAGCATCATGGACCGAGCATCATGGCAGTAGCCAAGGGACCAGAGAGCGGCACGGTACGAGTGCCTTGCTTTTCCAAAGGCAACTGGGAGAGATTCAATAGTTAACTGGGCAATTCCCAGCTGTCCAGGCTGCCCTACCACAACCCCCGAAGCTATTCTAAGGCACCACATAGCAGGAATACCAAGAGCCCATGAAAAGCATGGTGAGTAAAACTGCTGGTGTCTAATGGCGCCAGATGGGCTGTTGACACACTCCGTGTGGTTACACATGAAAGCCCATCCTGCAGGAAAAAATCATCACATCCCCACACGCTTCCCATCCGCCACCGGGACTGTCACCTTCGGATCAGGGCTGCGAGCGCCGCAGCCGGAGCTCAACCTCGGCAACCACAGCTTTTCCTTTAAACTCCTTTGAGTTCTTGGTGTCTCTTGGTTTCATTAACCCCTCCAGTGCCTCCTTACAATGGTCCCCCTTGCCTTTGTCCAGGTTCAATGCTGTCACAGCAAGGGTTTTATAGGAAGCGAGACAAAACCTCTCCGTACTTACTAGTGACAGGCTTGCCAGCACTGGCAAGAAGCAGATCAAGGCAGGTCTTGAGACAGAAACGAAACAGAAAAGGGAAGAGGCAGTTACTTGCTACAGACCTTCCAAGAAGCCTTTCAAACTGCACACATTAACTGCTGAGGCACCCCTAAACACCCAGCGCTTTCAGGGCTGGAACACGGGCACGGTTTTCACAACACCGAGCAGAAGTTATACAACTGTTTACAACAGACCCTTTTCTATCGTCACCACAAGCAGATGGCAGGGAAGCAATTTGCCATTCTCATTAACCATTTCAATCCTCAAAGGAGCTGGCAAATCCACTCTGCTTCCAGTTTCATGTCACCACGGAGGAGGGATGGGAAAGGGAAGAACAACACGCAATAGGGACCGATGGGTATCACTGGCATTGAGCTTGGCTTCCACTGGTTCCACAGACTGATCCGAGTCTGTATTCGCCCTTCAGCAGCAAAACGGATGAGATCAACCCAAAGTTTCAAGACCTGGCTATGAACTTGCCCAAAGTGCTGATGATTTCTCATTCACAACTGTTTGACTCCAACTTGCCCCGCAAGGAGCGGAGGAGGAGGAAGATGCCAAGATCCACGTCTATTTCCAGCACTATTTACACTGGTTTCAAGATCGTGTGATGATAGCAAAATCTGGAGAGTTTATTTAGGTGAGCTCACAGCAGTCGGGGGTGTTTGGGAGCAGGAAGAGGAAGCTGTGCACAGATTCTGAAGGAACCACAAAGTATGAAGCTCTGTGGTTTCTTGGGTGTTATCTTGATGGGGCCCTGTGCAACTTCCACTTCAAAGGTTCAAGAGATCAGAAGGGAAGATTGAGTCCCAAGTATCTGAAATGTCTTAATTAAATTACTCATTCATACAAGGAAGAGACAATCCAGGATTCATCTGCTTTAAGGCAAGTAGGAGACAGCGATGAAGGCCGGTGACACTTGGCTGGGTGCTGCAAGGTAACCCTGTTCAGAGCAACAGACCTTAAAAGACAACTCCCTTCCCCACAAGAGACTAAAACCAAAACACCACACCCAAACCCCAGGAACACTGGGTTTCCATAAGGAGCACGAGACAAAGGAATGGGTCAGATGGGAACGAAAATGCTACTAAATAGAAAGAAACATTTAAAGGACAGAGGCACATCACATCACCTGCGTGAACAGAAAACTCCTCTGACCGTTCTTCCTCTGAACCGAGGGGTTTGAAGCAAGTCTCTGGTGGTACACACAGAAACTGAAGTTTCCCGTTCCACCTCCCTCTGTCTCCCCAGATATTCAGGATGTTTCCTAGAGGTGTGCAACACACGTTCCCAGATCCTGGAAGAACTCCGTCCAGAAGAAATTCATCACTGTGAGGGTGCTGAGGCGCTGGCACAGGGTGCCCAGAGAAGCTGTGGCTGCCCCATCCCTGGCAGTGCTCAAGGCCAGGTTGGACACAGGGGCTTGGAGCAAGCTGCTCTAGTGGAAGGGGTCCCTGCCTGTGGCAGGGGTTGGAGCTGGAGAAGCTTTAAAAACCATTTTATGATTCTATGATCCATGTAAGACTGGGAAGAAGGACAAAAGCACTTGCTTGCTTTCCCTCTGTCCTGGTTCAGGTTGGAAGGGACCTTCAAGGATCAGGCAAGTCCATCCGCCTGCAATGAGCACGGATAGAATGCTTCATGCTTCTAAAAACCTTCCAAATGTTGTTACTCAAAAGACTTGGGGGGACAGGAAATGTTCAGGGCTCAGCTCCATCAGAAGGAACCACAGGTCGAAACTGCCTAGGACACTAATTATCCATTCGAATGATAACACCACAACTGAAGTCCACGTGACACGAATGCTTTGATACCTCCTGCACGGCGTCATCTCTCCTGCAAGAAACCACTGCAGCTTTAAGAAAACTCCGCTGGATTTCTCTGCTCATTCACATCCACGTCTGATTCCCCCTCAAAGTGCTCCTGACACAGCTCAGCCTTCCCTGCGAATTCTGAGGATTACAGGCATGGACATGGATGCTGCTCCCTGCCCTCCTCTTCCCAAAGATTCCAGTTATGAACATCTGTTGTTTACAAGGGCTCAGCCTGAAGGTTGCCAGACTTACTCTGCATCTTCTACTTCGAGGCAAAGGCTGCCAGAAAGCCATCTGAATTTCATGTTGGGATACCCTGGACATCCAGCTGACAATCGCACCTCAGGATCCTACTTCCAAAGATTATCTTCATCTAAAAGATGGCCTTAAAATAGCAGTTTATTTTCATGTTTCCTTGTTTCTTTTCCTTTTTTTTTTTTCCCTTGGAAAGAATCACTGAAGCTTTGCCATGGTTTTTACAGTCTTCACTCATTCTTTGAATAGGAAAATGCCTTTTGGACAAAATCAAATTAAGTAGAACTGAAGCCTGGTATTAAAGGTCCTGGGGCTTCACTGCAGTGGGGCAGAGCCTCCCTCTGAGGATGGATGTCAGAGCAGCTCTGTTGCCTACAGGGACCCCAAGAGCCACAGGCAAGAGGAACACCGGGATGGATGCTCTGATCTAACTGCAAACAAGAGATGCTCAGTGACTACCCCTTGTAGTCATACACACTTTGTAACCCTCAGGCTTGCTCAGCCTGGAGAAGAGAAGGCCCCTTACAACAGTGTTCCGATACCTAACGGTGGCCTACAAGAAACCTGGAAAAGGACTTTTGATGCAGACATATGGTGACAGGACAAGGGGGAATGGCTTTAACCTGCCAGAGGGGAGACTGAGATGAGATCTGAGGCAGATTCCATGGGATTCTATGGTACACCACACCTGTGACCAACAAGCTCTTTTAACAACTGGACGTGTAAGACTTGGGCTGTGGAACGTAATTTTCCCTGCAGTCCTTACATCTTGTGTAAGGATATTTACCACTGGGTACTGAAGCAGCCTTTCCCAATATATATGGATTTTATATGACTATTCTCTTTAATAGTCTTTTCTAACTGAAATAGCATTTTTTTAAGAGAATAGGCAAAATGAGGCATAACAGCCATGGCAGAGTAGTTAAAAGTAAGTAGAACCTGGGATACATCCAACTGCCATCAACTTAGATGTCACCTTGGCTAAATCAATCTGTTCCCCTTCTTCAAAGATGCAAAATGAGAACAACACACACCTACCTCTGTAAATCATGTTAAGATGCTCCAGTGAAGCTAGCTTCACACTCTGCAAGGGGCACACAGCCTCCAAGCCCATCACCAGCTATCCACTCTTTGCTGTCAAGCCCCAACCACCTACATTTCAACTCCAAACTGTAGCCACCCGATCACCTCTGCTGCAGCCACATCCAAGGAAAATCCACCCCATGCACGGCATCTGTTAGAAACCCAACACAAGCTGCACTTCACATTGCTCCCTCCTGTGAGGGTATGCTGGATGGAGGAGGAAGCCACACAACCCAATTTCCAGGGTCAGCCCGAAGCCTCCTGCCCTTGACAGTGTTCCTGAAATGAGCACATCAGGAGCAACTTAGCAATTACATCCTAGCTCCTGAGTATGAAAGCACATGCAAATTACAGGGTAGCTGCCTGACAGATCTCCTCCTTGACAGCATGTTATGGGAGCTAAAAACGGCAAGTGACATGGTAAGCACTCCCTGAATGATATGGTACCTTCCGACACAATCATCATCGCATGGGAAGAACATGCTATTACTGTGTATTTATAGGGGCACAGCCAGGCAATTACAGAGTAGCCACCCTTCCATGCACGTCTTGGAGTCATGTAATACCAGGCTGCTCAGGAGGAGAGGGATCATGGTTGGCTTTGATCAAATGCTCTTTCGGGGGCTTCCAAATGAGATTACAGCTGCAGCATCTACAGAGCAGGTACCAGCCAAGTCCCCCTTCACTCTTCAAGCAGTGTTGGGGATAGGTTAATTATAATTGGAACTGCTTCCTTACTGATCCCTGTGGTATTCTGACACATCCCTGAACGTTACAGCCAGCAAATGACTGCACAAGTCATAGATGGAGCTGCTCAGGTCAGCCAGCTTTACAGCCACTGCTGTAACACATCCTGCCCACACACCCAGCAGCCTCACTGTTAACAATCGCTTCTTCCCTTTATTCTAACTCTCGACCAGCTTCTACATTTGGGACTCAACCCCTGCAGGGGTAACACATTCCAAAACCAAGATGGTTTTCTCCCTCTCTGCTCCATTCTGGAGAGACCCCCCCCCTGCATCCTGCATCCAGCTCTGGGGCAACAGCACAAGAGGGACGTGGAGCTGTTGGAGTGAGGCCAGAGGAGGCCATGGAGATGCTGCGAGGGCTGGAGCAGCTCTGCTCTGGAGCCAGGCTGAGAGAGCTGGGCTGGGTCAGCCTGGAGAAGAGAAGGCTCCTGAAGGGGAGACCTCAAGCAGCTTTTAGATGTGGCTGCCCCATCCCTAATGGATTTCCAGATTCTTTCAGGCAATGTCCTGGACTTGACGTTTAATTCAGCAATTCAAGTGAAGATTTTATGTGCTGACAGAATCACCAGTCCAATCGAGGCTGCACTCAATAACTGGCATATTTGAGGTCAGTTTTGTGCAGGTACAACTTTATAAAAGCCCATCTAAAGTACAAACAGCTCAAAAACCAGGGGCAGGGGGCAGTGAGGAAGACGCATTAGAACAAACACCCTGCAGTAACACAACCAGCAGATTTAATTGCCATGAAGAATGACACCATGTAGGATTTACTGAACAATGGTAACAACTTCACATTGAAAATTCACTCCAAATCTCAAAATAGGAAGCAAGCTGTATCCAACATTCCCAACACTGAAAGCTGAACACAACAGCGTTTCTGATAGGATGCAATATAAAGGAAACCACCTCAATTTTCACCAGGAAGAAGGACAAAATCAACTGGAAAAGATCAATCATAATGCACAGGAATATGACAGCTCAAGGCACCATTTCTTTCGTGCCATCTTAAAGGCATGTGCAGAATATGTGCAGCTTAAAGCTGTAAGAACACTTCCACTGTAAAGGAAACAAAACACTTAAGACCATTACAGGTATACAGATGCATAGAACAACTCTTCTCCAATCTATCAGTGATGCTCAGTCATGTTTCCCCACAGTGCAGCACATTGTGTGTTTTCAATGAGAACTGAAGTAAATCACATCAAAGCTGCCCAGAAAGGAAACAGAATGGTGCCTATTGAATGGCTTTCACAAAGCAAGCGTCTAATGGGAGGGGAAAGCCGATACATCCCCACATCCCTGCAAGCACAGCAACAACAAAACAAAACACAGCCAATGACCCCAACAACACTAACAGTGACACTGCACTGTGGGTGGAGGCAGCCCCAGATGGATCCTCTCAGCCCAAACTGTCCAAGGCAGGAATGATTCAGATCCAAAGCTGCTTTTGCTCCATGTTTTCCCCAGCTGCTCCCCTGACAACAGAACCCAACCAGCTTGTGCACTGCCCGTGTGTCAGCTCCCGCAGCGCTGTGGCTCTCTGCTGGCCACCTACTCCTGGGGCTCATGGCACCGTGCCACACCTGTGCCACACCGTGCCACAGCCTGTGCCAGCCCCTTCTGCATCCCTCCTAGGAAAACCACCTTCCTCCAGGCAGGGCTCAGCAGTAAATCAGGCAGCTTTGAACCCATGAAACCATGACCATGCCATCCCAGCTCCAAGAGCTAAATGGGGAACAACCAAAGCAGTATGGTCAGACCTACCTGTAAACAATGGTTCAGGCAGGTGAGACAATTCATTGTCAATGAGGACATCTTCAAATTCTAATCGAGTCTCAACAGCTTGGTATCTCGGGATTCCCCCCACCATGGCACAGCTCTCTTCGGAAGTACTATTGACCTTACTTCTCTGCTGTTCTGAAGTGGTAGTAGCAGAGAATGCTACAAACTGAGATACAACACTTCAGTCCTACACTGAGTATGTGCAGGATACTGAAACCAGAGAGCTGCAACAGCAAACCCCAGCACAGAACAGATGGCAAAGAGTTACCCTTTAAATAGAACCGACCACAGCCACCGACACTGAAGGAAATCCTGGGTTTGCCCATCGAATCTGCCGTACAGCTTTGCCCACCTTCCCAAGAAAATGACTCCTTTTAGACATGCCAGTTTTTACCATCCCATTCCCTACTGACAACATGCGACCTACCAGGTATTACTGAAGTGTAGTTAGCAACCAGGCTGTGGAGGAAGATGAAATGAGTTCTGTGTTTAACACAAACTTGGGAAACACTTGATTCTGACATTCCCAAGTGCTGGTACCTACATTGACTCTATCAGCTCTCTGCTGGCATTCCTGTCCTTGCAGCCACATCTACAGGGGGAAAAAAGGGCAAAAACAAAAGGCAGATACTCTACTTGAATTGCTGGTCTTTGGTGCTCCTAGTTTTAGCCAGGAATCTCTCAGCCAACTTCTCCAAATTCCTTGAGTAATCCATCTCAATCTCTGCCTTCTTGCGGAAGAAATCCTGCAAGTCCTGCAGTAACTGGACCCGAAGCTCACACTGTTGGTCAAGGCATTTCAGCTGCTCTACCAACTGGGCACGGATCTCTGTAACAAATAAAAGCACTAGAGATTAAACAGAATCCCATTAGAGAAAACACCATCAAAATTCTCCAGTAAAATACAGTTAGAACCACGTTCCCTCATTCATATATAGCAGCAAAAAAGCTCCATTAGGATGAAATGTATCTGCAGACAGAAAGTGATTGCAATCGCATCTCGGATGCGCCAGCCACAGGAAAACCATCCAACATCCTGCAATCCCTGGCGCAGCCCTTGGAGCAGAGCTTTGCTGCTGGGGAGTGCATCAGTTACAAGTGTCAAGTGCATTTTTGGCATCAAGGAGAAGTGGTCACTGCCTAAAAATGTACTGAATCTCAGCTTGGAAAAAGGACTGAATGCTGCAATACCCCACGTCGGCTCAGGGAGCCACCTGGGGGAATTGCTATCCAATTCCTTTGCAGGCTACTCCTGATGCAGAGACAAGACATTGCACACACTGGGGCTGCCCCCAAGGCACCAGTTTGGGATTATTCAGTTAGTTCCTGAGTCGCCAACAGTGCAGCTCTCATTACAAACCAAAAGTCACCGAAAAAGATAAAGACACTCCTTCAGAGAGCCAATGTGATGGCACTTGCCTTGAGAGACTTATCTCCAGGAAGACTATAAAATACCTATGTCTAAAGGACCCATAAATGACACAGATACAGGTGGTAGCGTTCTATTATGCAGAATTATTACTGAAGTTATCTATCTATATGCACACAATAGTTCACAAACAGTTTTCAAACAGTTTACAAATAGAACAACTCCTCCCATTACACCTTTAAGCCAGGGTGCTCTCATCTTACCCAGTCTGAATTTCAGGGATGGGAGAGTGAAATGACTCTGCCCATGGTCAAACAGGACAAGAAAACATAGCAGGAGCTAATCTCAGAATGCAGAAATATCCAGTGGTGCAGCTACTGGAGGTTATTTGGCTTTTATACAGGCAATAAACTCAACATGAAAACAATAAAACGTGTATTTCCATCTCTGAGCACTCCAGCTTCAGAGATGCCTGCTATTGCTTGACTCTGACTGCTGCTCTTGCCAAAGGTTCTCAGAGGTGTGTTGCCCCAAGATGAATTCAGAATCAGCAATAAAGTAAGGAACACGCAGGTCTTGGGCAGGCACAGCTTTGTACCTCTGCATCCCAACCACAGGCACCCACAGCTTCCCCACCACAACTGAAGAAGGGTGAGTATCACTTCCCAAATGCAATTTGCTAATCCCTGCTGCTGTGCACATCATCTCCATCCGGCTCGATTCCCAGTTACAAAGCTACTAGCAGACTTGCAGAACCATGCATGAGTGCCCTGTTTAGTCAATGCAAACAAGACAACCCCATTCTACCTGTGCCTTTGTCATTAACACTTTCAGGAAGCACAGAAGGTGAGGCAGTGAGGCAGGAACAGCACCAAAAGGCACGGTCAGGGAGTGCTTCCTCCCCGCAATGAGCCAGCCTGCCCAGTCCTAACACTCACCTGCAGGTCTGGCATTCAAGAATCCCAGCCGGGTTTGTGCTGAAGGGACCTCAAAGCTCCTCCAGCTCCAACCCCTGCCATGGGCAGGGACCCCTTCCACTGGAGCAGCTTGCTCCAAGCCCCTGTGTCCAACCTGGCCTTGAGCACTGCCAGGGATGGGGCAGCCACAGCTCCTCTGGGCACCCTGTGCCAGCGCCTCAGCACCCATCAGCTGGATGAAACACAAAGTACCACTTCCCAACAAGATCAGCACAGCACGCGTGTAAACTGTAAAACTACAACAAAGCTCAAGCCCTTGGTTCTCAAGGTGGGATACTTCACATGCAGCTCGCTCGCTGAACAGCAACAAGTAGTAGTAACCTTTTCCTTCAGTAAGAAATGCAGTATCAGCATGCCTTCATTCTAACTACACTCAGTGTTTGTGGCAGGGAGCAGGGACAGATGATGGGGCTGCCCGCAGGGGAACAATGAGCTATTCAGCCCCTGCTTATCGAGCCTGTGGCGCGGGGCTGGAGAGGGCAACCTTGCTCATCTTTCAAACACACAGCACGCAGTCCTGTGCCACAAAATCCAATCAAGAATGCAGGAATTTCCTGAGGCTTACTGGAGGATGAAGTGTCTGCTTGTTTTCCCATTGCTTACACAAGCATAAGGTTTTTAAGTCGGGCTTACTCCGAGGACAGAGCACAGCCGAGCCGGAGCTGTGTGTGAGCTCTAACCCCCGGGTCACCGCATCACACGGGACCTTTTCATGTCTGCAGTCACAACAACCACTTTCATTTGGAATTCACTGCTTTTGCATCCTTCATTTCCCCAGGTTGTTAGGTTAACAGCCACTTGAAACACCAAAAAGCCTTCCCCCTCCTTTCCTGTTCAAATAGGATCCCACCCACTGTGATCATTCAAGACGAGGAACAAGCTCCTGAACACCCTGCTCCTGCTGCCAAGGCTTCAAGTGCCTGAAGGTGAATAAACACATTGAAATCAAGGTCAAGATGCCCATAGAAGAATTGGGATTAAACACCAGGTATTCTTATTCTCACACTAAGCCTTGCCCTGGATGGCAGAACCCTTTCTATTGTACTTTAAGCTCACGTGGCTGACAACTACATAATAAAACGTCCTCAGTAGGAACAGCAAAGTTTTCCATCCATTTCAAACAAACCACTTCTTCACTCCCATCACCAGATCCATCAAGGCACCTGGGGCACAGAGGGACACAGAGCTGTATAATGCCAGACAGGTGAATAGTTCTACTTTTCTCCCCTCTGCAATCACCTTCTCAGCATTCCCTGGAGCAGTCAGCAGGCTTGTCTGATGAATGAACCCAAACGGGATGAAGGAACTTCTGCCTCCTGTATTTTGGTGACATTTGTCATTCTCAGCATTTATAATGGATCATTTTCTTTTTCCTTGCTGAACTTAGAAGCATGCAGAGCATTGATAGGCATAATTATTATCATCCAGTTACTGTCCATGAATAAAATGCTGGTATTTAAGTAATGATGCCTTCAATACTTCCATGGAAGTGTCATCGCCAGTAGTACCTACCATAAGAAAGTTAAGAGACATACTACATTTGAAGCTACCACCATACCTGGTCATAAAAAACCTGGATGATGTTCATTAATTGACTGTTCCTGCTTGGAAAAGCCTAACAGTTTAAACGAGACCAATGACTAGGTGCAGATCCAAAACACTCCTAAGCTACAATCTTGGGAAGGATCCAGTAAATGAAACTAATAGTAGGTTATCCTTTATTTATTACCCTTAAGCAGATTACAAGAACTGTGGTGCAATTATGGGCCTCTACTGAACAGTGGCAGCTTCTCAAACTTCAAACAAGAGATGGGTTTCTGCAAAGCTCCTGGCAAGAATCTGTTCTATCAGAAACCCATCATGCCCGGAGGAGGTGGATACGCACTGACTGGAACAATACCTTGCTCTGCTACAGCATCCACAGTCAGCTTGGGACAAAGAATTTGCCAAATGATTACTTCAGGCTTAAGCATCCTATAAACTGAAGCTGGAAGTGTGGAAACTGAAGCTGGAAGTGTGGAAACCAACTCCTTCATTCTTCAGCAGGTCATGTACAGAGTGAATGGGATGAACTCAGATGCAGGAGACTACCTTGCCCGGTCATCTCACTCTGAGCAACATTCCTGTTCCAAGCAGGATCACCTCCCAGAAGACCCCAGGATCAGAATCCTCCCAAAGAGGGTTCCAACTCCTCCCACTGATAAGCTTGAACTGCTCTAACTGGATAATGACACGGTGAATCAGCCTGCGCCGCACAGAGCACCAGGAGAAGACCCAAGCAGCCTGAGCTGCGTTTCAGTATCTAGCTCCATCTCCATGTCTGCGCGCTGCAGCTCTCTCAAGACGTTCCCACCTCTCTCCCAAATGCCATGCTGTATAAAAAGATGACAAGCTTGGGAAAGGAGTGGGATGACAACAGAACAGAACCACCAACCCCCAGCTCCCGCCCAGATTAAACAGCGATCCTCCCACCCACACAAACCCGCTCCGACTGCTGGAGCCGAGCTCCCAAACCGGCCCTGCTTCTGCCTGGATGCAGTGGTCCCCGCCATGGCTGCTGCCAGGAGCCGTCCTTCTCGGTAAGGTCGGATGAGCTCAAGACAAGCAGGAAGCGTGTCAAAATCAAGGGAACCCGCTCAAGCCATGGCTGGGAAGGTGGAAACCAGCAGCTTCAAACCTCAGCACATCATCCTGACGTCTCGGGACCCCTGCCCCACACACGGGCTGCAATGACGCAGAAGGATTGGAAGATGCCAAGCAGTAAATTGTGTGCACAGCTCTAATACAACCTTATCTTTCAGGCTACTCAGCAGCGTATGAAAGACAAAGCGGAACAAATGAACAAAACCTCCACTTCATAGAGAAGACTGGAGCAGCAATTTTAATCATAGAATGGTTGAATGATCGTGGTTTAGATCTTGTGCCTCAAATCCCTGTCTCCTGAAAGCTGCCACATACTCAGATGCTGAGCACTGGAGACAACAGTGGTACAGGCTTCCCCTGCTTCCCTTTGCAAAACCTGTGGAAGGGCAGGTTAAGATTACAGTTTAGGTTGACATTAACACTCCATTCAGGCTCCAAAACTGGAAAACAGCCAACACTACAGCTCTGAGTAGAACTCAGAACCACTTCATAGCGAGTTCAGTTTCAGACAGTGTTTTGGATTACACATTTTGACATATTCTCTGCATATTGCTAGGAATTCTCCTATCGCCATACATAAGAAAGCCTGTGCTCCGAAAGTGAAAGACTTTGTAGCTGGATGAAACAGCCTCAATGTATTTTAGGTATAGGACTCCAAACAGGGCTCTGACAACAGCCCAACAACCCCGGCCGTGGCTGGGAGCTTTAGTGACTTTGGGAAGCCTTTAAGGAGTAAAAGCAAGGATTTCACTGCACAGACCACACTGCTCGCCGAAAGCTGCTGATCATCACAGCCATACAAATCTCCCTGCTAATCTGCAAACCAGGCTTTGAAGTGAA